AGATGAAAGATTTTAACACGAATGATAAAAACTTTCCAAATATTGTTTAAACTTCAGAAAATTGTTAAAATTTTTCAGAAAACCTACAGGCTCGGAAAGAGCAACGAAACCCTCAAATTTTAGCTAGAAACAGTATTTTTGTCGATTTTTATTAAATCTGAACTATATTTCAACATTTTTTGATGATTCTGAGCGACGAAACACATTAAGAGCATGCAGAATCGTCTCAGATCGGGAAAAGGAGACGTTTGGGTCAATTTTATGCATTCTGGCGTTCGTAGATACAAGAAAATTGTTAAAATTCTTCAGAAACGTCACTTTTGAAGTGTTTTCTTGTAGTTATAAGCCAATCAGGAACCCTACGGGCTCGGAAAGAGCAACGAAACTATCATATTTTAGCTAGAAACAGTATTTTTGTCGATTTTTATTAAATCTGAACTATAATTCGAACTATGCTCCTTATTAATAACTCAAATAATTAAGTAGTCTGTTGATTTTATTACACAGGGAAAATTTAGAAATGTTGGGGTTTTTAGCAGAAAAGTGGCTTGTATTTTATTTTCTTTCTTAAATATTTAAGTTATACATACAGGCTGATCAAAAAGAGGCGCACTGAATTTGACACGTTATTAACGATTGCGTATTCAGCAAAGAAAAGTAATTTAAAAAAATCCTTGGGTCCAAATGTAGAAAAGAGCTTAATTTTTTTCGATATTTCATCATATTTTCATTTATTACTTAATGTTGAGTACATGAAACCGATCAAATATCCAATATTAAAAATTGTTCAGAATGAATCTGGCAGGATTCACCTCATTAATAAATGTATCTATCTAAAGGTAAATATCAAATTCACGTTTAACAAAAATAAAACTTTTTTAGTAATTTTTCTCAAATTTATACTAACTTGTTTTTGAGTTTACAAAAAAAATAATTGTGACTTTCGCAAAAAAATTTGAGATTTTTTGCGAAAGTCACAATTATTTATTTTTATGCATTATTTAAAAGTTTTTGTAGATAAATACTTGTTTTAAGTAAAGCCAAAATTTTTATTTTTGTGACTTTTTTCTATAAAGTAACAAATAAAAAATTCCTGTTGTAAATTCCGTCTTGGGACCCACTGTATATATAAATAGGAAATATATGTTCAATGATCTACAATCGAATACTTTTCGAAGCGATGTAATCTTATTCAATGGCTAGAGGATATGCAACCAACAAAATACGCGTGTGTGGTTGCCTACATGTACAATAACTGCCCTAGTTAAGGGGGAACGCTAGACGAGATACAAGTTTGAATTAGGCGCCATTTGTTGCCTTAAACGCAACCAGCAATTCTTCTTTAAATCTACCTGACGCGCTGGGATAGAGGACTACCGGATGTATAATGATAATTTATGACAGGCGGCCCACAACATACCTTCAGCACAGAATAATCATTTCTCGTATTCTTTTGACATATTAATTTTAATATTCGAGATAATTATTATATTATTCAAACACAATTTAGACACTGTAGAGCAAACAAGGCTTATCAAGCCCGTCTATTAGTTTATTCGCCTAAATGTATTATTAATACCGTTTTCAAATTACACCAAAATTGAAAAATCGAAAACTTAATAATTGAAAAATTGAAACATTTTAAATGAAAAAAATCGGTAAACCGAAAAATTGAAAAATCTATAAATCGAGAAATTGAACAATCTAAAAATTAAACAATTTAAAAATCGAAGAATTGGAAAACCAAAAAATCTAAACCGAAAAATCGAATAATCGAGAAATCAAAACATCAAGGAAAACAAAAAAATTAACGGAAAATCTAGAACTTAAAAATTGAAAAATTAAAATACCTATCGAAAAATTGAAAAACCGAGAAATCGAAACATCAAAAAATGGAAAAATTGAAGAACCGAAACATTACAAAATCTCAGAACTGAAATACTGAAAAACTGAAAAATGGAAGGAAAATTGAAAAATCAAAAAGGTGAAAAAATTCAAAACTGAAATCTTGAAAAACTGGAAAATGGAAAGAAAATTGAAGAATCGGAAAAGTGAAAAAATCCAAAAGTGAAACATTGAAAAATCCAGAAATCGAAAAATTGAAGAAAGAATTGAAAAATCAAGAAATAGAGAAATGGGAAAATCAAAAAATCAGTTAATCGAACAATTGAAAAATCGAAAAATTTAGAAACGTCAAAAATTGAAAACTGAAAAATAAAAAAATTTAAAAATCGTAAAACTGAAATATCGTAAAGTTAATAAATTGAAAAACTGAAAATTTTTGAAAAAAAAAAAATCGTATCAAAAACTAAAAATTCAAAAAATCGAGAAATTGGACAATCAAAAAATCAAAACAATCGAAAAGTTGATAAATAGGAAAATTTAAAAAACAAAAATTTTAAAAATCCAAGAATTGAAGAACAAAAAAATCTAAGCCTGAAAACTCAGAAAATTGAATGATCGAGAACAAAAAATCTAAAATTTAAAAATTCGACAAATTGAAAAATCATGGAACTGAAAAATCGAAAAGTCGTGATAGCGAAAAATCTAAAAACCTAAAACTTTAAAAACTGAAAAATTAAAATATCGAAAAATTTAAAAAGCGAGAAAACACAATATCAAAAATTTGAAAAATTGAAGAAACGAAATATTGCAAAATTCCAAAGCTGAAATATTGAAAAACCTAAACATGGAAGGAAAATTAAAGAATCGAAACAGTGAAAAAATCCCAAACTGAAACATTGAAAAATTGAGAAATGGAAAAATGGGAAAATCAAAAAAATTGGTCTAAAGAGTTCAGACAGTACTTCCCTCGCTATCGGAAACGTGACGACTGCATGCCTATTATGTTTTTTTTTTCACATTAGATTTGAAAGCATTCGTTTTTGTAGTTCCTGATTAAATCAATAAAATAAATTTGCGCATTCATTAAATTTTTTGAGTCACTCTGTATATCCGAATCCAAAAAATATGAATGGAATGATAAATTACAAGAAGAGACTCATCGTATTTTGTAAATTTTAAATAGGATTATACGGCAAACTTTTGAGCTGACATCATCAATTTTTTGGAGGGGATAAGCAAATATATTTTGACTCAAAATTTATTATGCTCTTTATAACCTTAAAACATTTGCAAGATTTCAAAGCTTTGGGTTCTGTAGTTCCTGATTAAATCAATAAAATAAATGTACGCATTTATTAATTTTTGGGGTCACCTGTATATGCAAATCCAAAAAACATGAATGGAATGATAAATCACTAGAAGAGACTCATCATATTTTATACAATTTAGATAGGATTTAGCAAAATTTTGAGGTGGCGTCATCAATTTTTTAGAGGGGATAAGTAAAAATATTGTGATTGGTAAATATATTATGATTATTATTGTCCTGGTTTAATAACAAAAAAATATTGTTCGTCTATAAAAAAATATGGACGCCAAGGGTAAAAACTCAAACGGGTTCATAAGTCAGAAATTTAGGAGCATGTCATCTTATAAAATTTAAAAAACATTCGGCAAAATAACATTATGCTTCTATAACCTTAAAACGTTTGAAGGATTTCAGAGCATTCCGTTTTGCAGTTTCAAAATTAAATCATTGTAAAATACAATTTTGAAATTTTCCCAAAAATCTGAATGTTTATGCTAAAAATTCAACACGGAATATTTATTCAGTAAAATTGTAAAATGACGTCATCACTTTTTGGGGGACGCAAACTAAAAAATTTTGAATAACGATTTACCATCCTTAGGATAACCTTAAAACGTTTACAACATTTCAGAGCATTCGACTTTGCAGATTTAAAGTTAAATTGCAAAATTGATTTTTGGTTTCAAAATCCTGTATTTCTACGTTAAAAACTCAACACGAGTTCATTCCTCAGCACCCCCATTTTTCTTCTACAACTCGTTTAAATACGGCTGAAGTGAGTATCGAAGGTATTTAGAATTATTATTATGTTTCACGTTTACGTCACGTTGTATTGTGTGCTTGGTTCAAATTTAGTAGCTAAAATTTTGTCAACCTGGTATTAGTAGGAACAACACTACTTCATCGTTATTCAAGTTTGGTGTTCTCTGGTGATTTGTAAAAATAGGTAGTTTCCCCGATTGTCGTATATGCAACCAACAAATCATCGTTTTAAATTCTGAAAATAACAAATAGCTGTGTTCTCAACGAGAATAAATACACTACCACGCAGGTTTTTCTTCAAATCTAAATATTTTCAACTCATATAAGACCTCCAGAGCGATGAGTGTTAAATTAACCAATAAATGTCAGATATATTACTTTGCAGCGATTCGGGGAAGTCCGGCTTTACGATATCCGTTTAGTCGCAGGCAAGGACGACAGTTATCGCTCATTTCTGCTCACAGTTTGTGTGCAACGTTGGTTGGAGTAGCGTTGAGTGCACTCAATTTTCAGTTACAAATAATCCGTAAGTATTGATAATAATTTGGTATTTGTTGTTGTGGGAAATTGTGTGCATTGTAAATACGTTTTACTTGCAATCGCTAAATATGGGTGTGAATACAGAAACGTGCTTTGTTATCAGATATCAACGGAAAACGCTGATTGTGGACATTTGCTAGTTTTTACTAGTTGACACGAACTGTAGATATATTTAGCTGGTTCAACGACGACTTTGATGGTTGCCAATTTGCCATAAATTGCTGCGGAAATTCCTACATTTAATTAATCAGACGCAAAAAGTCCCAATGTTTCATTTTGGAAGGTATGTGAGAGATAAATCCGTAAAGCATGTGTGATTGCCGCTATCTTATCAATATAAGGTTCCGATGTTTTTCGTTATTTGTTCTATTGAGTGATAATTTGTTAATGTGGATTAAATAGGCTCGAAAACTGCCTAGAAGCGAAATTGTTTTGTCTGCAAATTTCCAATATCACGTTTACAGAAACAAGTTCTCATTGCTGTGTTAGTATTAGTGTTTATTTCTCTGCACATCTACGTATTGTTTTGGAATTCACGCGCAGGTCAGGACCGTATTCGACTGTATGTTTGTAGCTTTAATAATAATAATTGTTTCAAGTAGGTGTTGCCATTCAGATGGTGCTGTACATTTCTAAATAAGTGAAAGTTATAATTAAAACAACGAAGTTTGAATAATTTTAAGTTGGTAACACTCTGCTCATTAAAACTTTATATGTTTTTCTCTGTCATCCAATAAACTGTGTAGCACACAAAAATTATTCATTTATCGTAGAATTCTTTTGATTTTGGCAAGTTGTAAAACGGTATGTTTCTGTTTTCTACCATAATACCAAAGATATTGTAATTGCTACAGTTTTACAACACGAGTATAAAACTAAATTGCAACCATGGAACACATTTTTGTTCTATGCGAATTGTGCTGGGACGTTTCTTTTACGATTCTTCAATATACAATAAATAAAAATATGCTTACAAATGCAATGCAAGATTAAGGTTTACAATTTGAAAAAAGTACCTTTTTTTAAATTGTGCGTTTTTTGAAATTAAAATTTTTTGTAACAAAAAAAGAGCTGGCGCCAACAAATTTAAAACATTAATTTTTATATTTTTCAAATAAATCATTCTGCATTTAAATTAAGGATTGTTTTGATCCGGGTTTAATGGGGTTGCTCCAAGAGTTTTTGCATTAATGTTGGTAGTGGTTAGTACGAGTTGTTTTAACTGAAACTTCTTTGCCTCTAAAGTAAGTTCAGCTTTTTCGAAAAATTACAAAATTTGATTTCGCGGATTTTATTTTTTTAATAGTAATCCCTATAAGTTAAAAAGAAGTGTGTGGTGTTAAAGTAAAGTTAAATAAGCATGCTATGCGTATGTTTCTAGTGAGTTTTTCAATTACAAAATTTTAAGATGACGTCATCAAATTCTTACGGAGATAAACGGATAACTTTTGATTAACGATTTATCATGTTTTCAAAGTGAAATTGTTAAAAATGTTATACAATTTTGTTTTTAAAATTTTGAAAGTTACGTCATCAGTTTTTTGGTTAGCATTTTACCATATACATGATATATACAAAATTTTGCAACATTCGGTCCGGTAGTTTTCGAGAATATCTGTCTAATAAAACACAGTCAACGGACTACTGACAGACGAACACAGGAGACCTATTTTTCATACTTTGGTGGTCATGAATATCGAAAAACATGAAAGTAGGCATTCGCCGGATGGACTCTCATTACAATATTTTCTTAGCTTATTGGTATTGATTTTAACTTAAACAACTAAAATTAACAGCATGTTTTGGCTGCAATTTTATTTCTTTACCACTTCCAGTGTGTCTATTTCAGGTTGATTTTGTTTTAAATTAAATAATGGAATGGCTTTGTTCTATTGATTTCGTAACGACATGGAGAGATTACGTTCCATGTTTACTCCATTTTGACGTTATCGTATATTGCGCTTTTCACAACGAATATTATCACCTTCATTGATAGCAGGTATGATGTTGCTAGTAAAATAAAACTTAAAACATGCTACAATATCTTACGTAAATCGTGATTGTTATTTTTTTAAGTCTGAGAAGTTACTCCGCCAAGAAAGTAACTAGTTTTTTTTTTAGTCGGTGAGTCATTCTATACGATACTATAATATATAGAAAACAATTCATATTTATCATCCGGAAATTATCTGTCAAGTGGTGATTCTACAACTTTGTTTTCTACAAACACATTGCTAACCAGTCAACTGATAATCACATTTTATGTTATACTGATTTTGATTTTGGCAACTAAACGGAAACAACCACTCAAAACGCTTTACTCTCCTATTATTAACTGAACAACAACATGAAAAGTCAAAAGTCAGAAAAATTGTCGATAACAGAATGATCTGCAAAAATAAGATAATTATTATTAGCTATTTTGCAAAATTAACAATCAAATTGTTTCCAAGGTCCCGCCACCCAAAATGGCCGCGGACGACGTCTCCGAGAAGTTCCAAGGTCTCAAAATCAAGGAGAACCAAGACATCAACATCCTCCTTCTGGGTGAAACCGGTGTGGGAAAGTCCACATTCATAAACGCAATCGCCAATTATTTCCATTTCAAAACATTCAAAAAAGCGTCTAAAGCACAGGACCTTCTCAGCCTCATCCCTTCAGTGATCACTGTTACGAATGAAAACTTGGAGCAAGTCACTATCACTGTAGGTAAAGACACCAACGAGTACCAAGAAATCGGGGCCGCTGGTACTCAAGACGTGAAGACTTACGTTTTTCCAATAGGCGAAGGCAAAACTAGATTGCGCTTGATTGATTCTCCCGGAATGGGAGACCCCAGAGGGATCGAGCAAGATGATATCAACTGTGAAAATATTTTAGCATATTTGGCACAGCTGAAAGAGCTGCATGCGATTTGCTTTTTGATGAAGCCAACCACCACGAGAAAAACTATATTGTTTGAGTATTGCGTGAACCAGATTTTGTCTAGGTTGGAAAAGTCGGCAAGTAAGAACATCATTTTTATTTTTACTAATACAAGAGGGTCGAATTATTCCCCGGGAGACACTTTGCCTTGTTTGAAGACTATTATTGATGATATTAAAGCGAAACCACCGTATGTGAGTATTCCGTTGAAGGATAATATCTTCTCGGTGGACAACGAGGCGTTCAGGTTTCTGATAGCGATGAAAAAGGGAATTAAGTTTGATGATAGTGTGAAAGAGAGGTTTATTGATAGTTGGAATAAGTCGGCGAAGGAGTGTTGGAGGTTGTTATTGAGTAGAAGTTGTGACTTTTGTAATGGTGGGTTTTAGGTTGATTTCTTACATTGTTGGAGATGCTTCACGGGATGCTCTTAAACCGCATCAACTTTTGAATACTATTAGCATCAATGAAGCTAGACGGATTATTGTTTATCTTTCTCAACCGCTGGCGGATATTTCGCAGCTCATTCATGATAACCTGAGGATTTTGGAGAGGCATAAGCAAAATCTCAGGGTGGAGAATCAGAGTTTGGATGAGTTAAAAAAGCAGTTATTCATTCCGGTTATTAATTTGGAAGTGACTCAACTTACGCAACCGGTGACCGTGTGCACAAGCACTAAATGTGCAGACTTGGTCAAGGTGAGTGTACAAAATGGCTGCCTAATTTGCTCCAAAAATTGATTTTAAGTACTACTAGGGAGACAAAACTATATTCAAATAAAAGTACTAAATAGTTTCACTCTAGAACCTGGTAGACTTAACAAATCAATTTTTGAAGAAATTATTGTAAATTTTGCGTATTGTATTTCGTGTTGAAAGGGTTTGATTCATTTCAACTGACGAGTTAATTAATCGTGTTCAAGGTTGGGGAAGTACAGAAGTGGCACTACAAACAGAGATGTCACGATCCATGCTACTTGAGAAACGTCACAAAAGAGATCGTCGGTGACGTCAATTTGCAAGGTTGTGCAGCGATGAACGGTGCTCGGACCTGTGGAAAATGTACTTGTGACTTTTCTGTACACATGCACATTTACTACATGACAAAGACCATTAGTGACAAACTAGAGGACGAAGTCGTCAAGAACAACATTAATAAAAAAGAAGAAGCCTTACGTGAAAGCAAGAGATTGATACAACAGATAGATCTAAGAAAAAATGAGTTGGAACAAGAAAGGGCGATTATTATCAAAAGTACGGCTCAATTCGCACATTTTTTGCAATATAATGCAATTTCACCGTTTAATGATTCCTATAAAGGTTATATTGAGTACTTAATAACACGGTGAGTACTGTTTCTGTGAGTTCTTGTCACTGAAAGATTTTTTCAGGGAGAGGAGTCTAGGTCGTCATGGTGACTTGGAAGTTGTTCACAACTTGGAGCAGCTCTTGTACCAGTATGAACAGATTAAAGAAGCCTTTGAGAATACCTTGAACTTGGACAAGCAGTTGGGTATTACAACTCATGGTTCGACTACGGTTACCGCGCAAACCGTTTTGGACACCATACACAATCTATACCAACTCAAACACAACGGAAAAAAGATTCACGAGTTGTTGAAAAAACAAAGGGCGCCGAGAAACTCTGAGTATGACGACAGCTGCGAGTACATCCACCCTAAATCGTCGGATTTGAGTCATGCGGAAGGCAAGAAAGAGAAAGATAAGAAAACCACGAAAACCGACGACGAAAAGAAAAAAAAGAAAGACGGGAAAAGCACCGAAGATGAACGGAAGTACAAAAAAGGTGGGAAGAGTACCGACGATGAACGGCTGCAGAAAAAGGGTAACAGGAACTTCTATCCTCTAAATCGGTCCTGTAGTCACGAACAACAAGTGTCCCAACCACGACCTAACCCTACACACTGGCGAGAGCCGCCGCCCCCTTACGACGATCGCAGACAATATCGACCCCCCCAGCAGCACCCTTCGCATCAAGGCAAACCACAGGAACCCAACGTTTTTGTGACCGTCGAGTTGAACAAACAAGGAAAAGATCAGAGAGGGCCTGGAGGATCCGACCACCAAGGGTACGGACCTCCGGAGCATGGATACCACCCCGGATCACAATATTACGGTCACGGCCAGTACCAAGGACCACCTCACGGACAGTACTATAACCAAAATTACGGCCCGCCTCCACCATCTGGACCGTACTATGGGCCTCCTCAGGGTCATTACGGTGCACCACCACAGGGTCATTACTATGGCCCGCCACAAGGTCCGTATCATGGGCCTCCAGGCCACTATCAAGGGCCCCAGGGGCATTACCAGGGGCCACCTGGTCAGTATCAAGGGCCGCAGGGTTCGCATTATTATGGTAATCGTGGACGTGGCTATCACAACAGAGGAGGTACCAGGAAGCGAGGACAGTCGAAGCCACGGTCGTCTAAAGGCGGGAAAAGCGGTACCGAGAAGAGCAGTCGTTCTTCGGATTCGGACTCGTAGTAAGGGATTAATTGGGGTTTTGAAAGGTTGTGTAATCCGTACTGAGAATTATTAATTAAGTTTATATTGTATGATTATGTACTGCTATAGTTTTAATGTGTTAAACTAACCTACGTTATTCGTTTTGGTACATGTATGTCATAATTAGTATTTAGCTTCGTACATAACATTGCGTGCAAATTGGTATCCAATAAAATTTGAAAAATGGAGTTTATTTTTTGCGTCCTTAAAATTACATGTTGATGGATTTTTTTGAATTGTACATAAAAAACGTGTAAGGATAACTGTAAACGTATGTGTTGTCCATTATTAGTTTTACCTCAAAAAACTATTAAGACATTAAAAAACAATAACAGATGAACTGATTGCAACAATATAAAAACACAAATTTAGCAAGATTAGTGAAACTACATCAATTCGAGGTAGAAACGTGGCAACCAGATGTGTATATCTCTTGGCGAAGCAAATATATCCAGTCCCACCCTGGTTTTAAGGGGGAAACTAGACACGCGATTTATAGTTGACTGAAAATATAAAATACAATGGTTAGTTGTATTCTCTGGTTGCAGTAGTCTGTACTGTGGTACTGATGGTGAAAATATTCTGTCGCCAATCTTAACCCCCTCTTAAATTGAGTGTGGGATGACCATACATACGTAATCTTTCTGATAATAATAATAATAACATAGTGAAGCAGTGTTGCCACCGACAACTTTATTTTCTTTGGTGCTTTTCGGCATCAGTCGAGAACAAACTGAACAAACTGTACGTCATTTTTTCTTACAAAATCTGGCAACACAGTTTTGCTATAAATATACCCCGTATTCTAGGGTTCTTGGGATAAGTAGAGTTTGTAACTCATTAGTGGCAGTGCCAGAGTTAGGTTAGTTGTGTTTCATTTAGTGCCCGAATGTTTTGCTAAAATGGTAAGTAAGTGTTATGTAAGTAGGTAGAAGTTACAACAAACCATCGAAGTGGAAACGTTTCTGCAACTCATTAGAGATGGGTCGTTACTGTAGGAACCGTTCCAATGTAGCGCTACCATCGAGTAGCGGACTGTAGCGCTCCTCGCGACAAAAGTAACACGTTCCACTTTGCGTTCCACTTGGAACTTGAAACGATATTTGTACGGGAGTTACGGGACGGAAATTCAAGGAACGAAATCATAAAACACGTTTGTCCGAAACGTTACAAGAAACGCAAATAGTGAGGGCTTGGGAACTGAAAAAAACGAGAATAATCTTTCTGTCATTAAAATAATTGTGTGTTGATCAACACAAAAAAGATATCAGGAAACGTTTATAAGTAGGTATTTATTTTATAATATTTATGAAAAAAAAAGAAAAACAAAATGTATGCAACGCAGATCAAAAGTAAAGTTTAACAATATAAATAAACAGATAAAATAAAAAGCAAAGCGGTTTTATCATAAAGCAATCGGCAAAATCAGCAAGTGTTGCATTTTGTTTGAGGGCGGTAATTTTTTGTAAGAATGCGACGGTCGATATAAATGACTCATTATCAGAAAAGATATAAAAGCTTAGGTATAAAATAGCTTATAAATAAATTTTAATTGAATACATGTATTTCAATAGCAACCGAAAAAAATTGTAAAATCTCAGTCCAGTAGAAAAGCTTCCAAGATTGGGAATTAACACAGAAAGTTGCGAAAACAAGACTAAAAATATTTGTAGTTTTGTTTATTTTATTATTATTATTATTATTTTGTTTTTATTAAAATAAAAGTAGAGTGCCCGTCCTAATTGTTGTTGTCAATATTTATTGTGTCCAGAATGTCCGTTCGCTACATATTGGTACTTGAGATTGGAATATTTGTTCCAAGTTGCAATGAAGCGGACAAGTGGAAGCGTCGTACTCATACGCCACTCGTGATGAATACGTTCCAAAGTAACTAGTTACTTGGAGCGCTATTTTCTTGTAGCGGTAGCGGTTGTAGCGCTCCACGCGTGGAACGATTTTGCCCATCTCTACAACTCATCTTCAATATTTTTTATATTGTGACAGATTTCAACGAAATTTAATACTAAATTCTCGGCCAGATAACTGCTCCGCCTGGAACAGTTACTACCTACCGTAAATTAAAACATCTCGTGCTCTGAGGTTAAGCTTTACAAAGTGGATCTTGATATAAGCAACCATCAATCACATTTTGTTTGCTGAATCAGAAATACGTTATGCGTAATAAGTGTTTTACATCGTCTGACTTTAAGACCACCGTAAGAAAATTAAAGCGGAAATTTAATTTCAAAAAGCAATTTGTGGTAGCTAAATATTTTTTAAATAAATCGAAAAAGTATGTTACAAAAATAGGAGGTGTCAATTAAAATAAAAAATAAGTAGGTATCTAAATTTGCAGAAATATACATCATTTCAATAATAAATTGTCAAAAGCGAATAATATATAAGTAACTTTAAAAATTGAACCATTCTTATCTTTTACACATAGGGTCAAACGGAAACAAAATACGAAAATCGTCGCAGGTCGCAACAAGTGCTGTCACAATATGCACGAGAACGCCAACAAACCCAACAGCAAGAAACCCAACAGCAGCAAGTACCCCAGCATCAGTTTGCAGCGAATCAACAGCAATCAGGACAAGAGCAACATTCTCAACAACAGTACCATCAACAATTTCCGGAGCAAGTACAACAACAAGGTCAACAACAGCAGAAACAACACCAAAATCAACAACGCCCCCGACAGTACAACGGTCACCAAAAAAATCAGCAAACGAATCAACATTCCTCTCAGCAGAATCAGCAACAGCAGTATAAACCTCGCCAACAAAATTATCAACAACAGCAAGGTGGACAACGCCATTTTCAACAAAATCAACGCACACACCAGCAGCCGCGAGGAGGGAAACAGTACCAATATCAACAACGTCCACAATTTCAACAACAATCAAACTATGATCATCCATCAAATCATCAAAGGTTTAACACAAACGCGGACGAAGAATCGAAAGTGATAGTAAAAGTGGAACTAGATCAACAACCGATTCGGCACCATGGACCCCCACAGGCCTCATATTATGAACCACCGCCATACCAACCGCCATATCCTGGACCTCCACAGCCACCCTATTATGGCCCAGGTCCTTACGGCCCCCTGTATCAATATGGACCACCACCGAATCAATACTATGGCCCAAATCCTAACCAGTACTGCGGTCCTCCACAGGGACCATATCCAGGACCGCATACAGGACATTATTACAATCAGAATAATCGAAGGGGTCGTGGGGGCGGCCGTGGTCGCGGTCGGGGACGAAATAAAACGCGACAATATAAAAATAAGAAAGAAGCGGGAAATAATAAGAAAAGTGATGGAGAGAGCAAAACGAGCGATAATAGTGAAGAAAGCGATAAGTCTGACTCTGATGAGTATTCAAAAACATGTTGATTTTCTTGGCGTCGCGTCGGTTCTAATATTTAGTTTGACGAGTGTTTTGTGTATATTTTTTTTTCAATATTTTTGTAAAATAAAGGGTTATTACGTAGTATAATTTTGCCCCTAGAATTCCTACTCTTGATGTTGGCAAGAGAAGAATCTAGGTAACGTTATTAATATACAGTTTTATCATGTTAAAGATTATGACTCCTTGTAACACTGATATCGTTTATGTATTTTTGTTTTATTATTGTTTTGTGGCGCTTTATTTTAATTATGAACTTAATATTTTTTAAGAAGGAAATAAATGCGTGCTTGGTCTACAGAGATATTTAAAAAAATGAAGGTGATTTTTAAAAATCTATAGCACGAGTTGTGATTAAATTAGATCCTTCACATGGCAACTCTTTATTGGAGCTAGACACCATATATTTAGTTAAACACAAATGTACCAGGAGAAGACGATGTTCTCTCTTTCACTAAAATGATACAAGTTTATTTCATATAATATTTTAGATGGTAGTTTAAATCAAAATGTGTAATTTTTCTAGCCTTAAACTTATTTTCGTAGTAAATAGTTTTCATAATAAGGTTTACAAAATTTCATTTATTTCTACCTTATTTCCATTGAATTTTGCATGATTTCTATAGAACATTTTCCGTAATTTTATCCCATAGCACACTAGATTTCCACGAGGGGTAAACATTTGTCTTTTATGAAGTGGTCATTAAAGGGTATTTTCGCTCGAATCGCAAATTGTTATTTCTCTGGTATTCTCTGATAGTGACATCTGCATTATTACACTTCGGCATTTTTAAAGGATTTCTCAGAATGTTAATAACGTAAATTTTCCCAATGTCTGAAAACATGGAAATTGTTATATTGCGTGTTTTGTAAATTCGGGGAAGTACGGCTCTGCCAACACGTAACAATAATCTGGTTATTGTTATAACTTTAATTATGACTTGGCAATCATTCGTTGCAAGGCCAAGGCCACTTCAGTAATAATAATTCAATGCCAAATATGCACTGCTTGTATGTAGTTGTCGGTTGTAAACTATCGCTATATTTAACTCTTTAATTAGTGTAAATATTTCGTTTTGGTGCAGTGAAGCAAACAATTAAATATAGTTATAAAAATGTAGATAGCTTATAACATTTAAATTAAAACGTTTAACTCGAATACGTTAAATACATCACAGTTTATTTCAAATATTACGTTTACCTTGTAGTAAATGACTAACCTCGATCAAGAATTACGGAATACGTACTGAAATTTATATAAATAGATTTTGAGATCTGATTTCTTAAATTTCTGGAAACACCATAATTTTTTTGTAAATTCATTCAGTCATCAAAGATTTTTTTATTTATTTAGTTTTTTAAATACTTTAGTTAAATGGAAATGTGTGCACTGAGCCACGTTTTTAAAAAATACAGAAAAGAATGATATTGTGTTAAGACAAACACCCCAACACGAGTCCAACTTTTCGTGTATTAGTTATCATTAGCAATCCTTTCACTAGCTTAACTACCAATTTAAAGATTGACATTCCTAGACGAGCTATCAAGCTGAAGGTGTACATGGTTGCCTATGTTTAACTATTTTCTTAGTTTTTCCTCAGCGCGAAATTTGAATTCAAACTGCGACACCACACTTCAGCGAATTTTGCACTCAATTTGCATACATTATGTTTCATCTACTTATATTTAGTTTCGGAAAGTTTGTATCTGATATATAAATTTTGTCATTAAATTTGTTCTGAGTATTCTATACTTAGCCACAAAAACGTATGTAATGGACGTATGTATGTTCTTTGGACAACTGACTTAATCAATTACGCATAACAAAACAGATTTGCAAGTTTCAAGTGCAGGAAACCTCTCTCCGATATGAATCACTAAAAAACAAAACGATGGCAAGTCATTTGACGATTATGTATAAACAGATAGATTAGATATAAAAATAGTAAAACTTGCGTTATCTCTTCAGACATGTAGTGTCTCCTAAACTTAAAACAGCAGGTACCATGGATTACGCGAACTTACCTGTAGAAACTAGCAAAACTCAACAGTTTGCAGTTTACATTTTATTCTACGCACTAGGAGTTGTTACAATTATTCATTCTAATTTTTTTACCACCGCTACAGACGTAAGTAGAGAATATTAAGCTACCTCAACATGCTACGTGTGTTACTTTAGTATTGGATGTACAAATTTCGTGATGTAGACAGCAATGCAAGCTACAACAGTGACAACAAAACCACCCTTCAAGCTGATTTTACTGCAAACTATTCCATAGTTTCTAATGTAAGCTACGTTCTTTTCATTTTGGCCACTAGTCGTTTTCTTAGAAGTAGAGTAGGAATAATTCCCCGGACGATTGGATCTCTTAGTGGGGCAGTTTTCTTGCTTATTCTTACTTGTATATTTGTGAAAGTCGATACGGATTCATGTAAGTTTCAGATTTTTGGTTTACATTTTTAATATTGTGGTAATTTTTCAGGGCAAAGGGGTTTCTACGTTTTTACTTTAATAATAGGCTGCTTGTTAACAGGTAAGACTCAGATATAAGTTATTCATATTTTACACCATTGTCGTAGGAATGTGTGGAGTGTTTATGGTAACGCTCTTCGAAATGGCAGTAAAGTTTCCCCGTAGTCACATACCAACAATATTTTCAGGACAAGCTATTTGTGGGATAGTGGCGGCTTTGGTTCAGATATTTGCACTAGGGGTAGGGGGAGGAGCGCAGACTACTGGACTAATTTACTTCCTTATTGGAATGTTGTTTATATTTTTTTCTTTGGTGGGATTCGTGGTAGCTTGGAGAAAGTCAGATTTTTTTAGATACAATATGACGAAAGAATTAGAAGCTAGAAAACGTTTAGAAATCAGTAAAGAAATAATTTTATCGGGTATTAAGAAGTCGAAATTTTACATGTTGTCGATGGTTATCGTTTTGGGAGGCACAGTTATGGTGCATCCAGGAGTGATAGTTTTAGTTAGTTCGGTCGACAAAGGGAATGGAAACCCATGGAATGGTAAATTGATAGTTGCTTGTATCTAGAAAGTATATTACGGTAATATATTGTTTACAGATACGTATTTCGGACCTGTGGTGAATTTTTTATTTTTCTATTTGTTTGACTTCATTGGTAGGGAGACTGCAATCTTCTTCAAAAAGGTAGGTACTTTTAATTAATACCATTAATGACACATTATTTATTATTATTAAGTAACAATCTTAATATTTTTAGCCAACTAATGGAGCCATAGTGTTCGCACTAAGCTGTTGCCGAATACCACTTATTCCTCTCATTTTGTTCTGTAACGCCACTCCACGTTATCATTTATCTGTGGTATTTGATGCAGATTATGCCTATATTATTTTCCTTATATTATTTGCTCTCAGTAATGGATACTTAGTCAATATCAGTATTGTCAGTGTACCTCAGTAAGTGTAAAATTGCTATATTGGAAGTATGATTAATTTTTATTGTTTAAAGGGTTACGGACGAAAAGGAGAGACCTTTTGCCATGCTCTGTGTTTTAATGCTCATGGTTCTAAGTTTGGCAATCAGTTCTGCTATAAGTACAGCAATAGTGAAGGCTCTGTGAGTCAAATATGATGCAAGTATTTATTTTTAATAAAAGTTTTATAGTAGATTGTTCGAAAATTTATACTGTTAACCCAAAAATTCCTCTAGAAATTTAAAATTTCGGTTACTGACACTCGAGAAACCAAAAAATGTGCAGCACACCTTTTTACTTAAAAAACCTGCCGCATATTAAACACTACACCCCGTTTTTGCAAAACAATCAGCTATCTCCAGTCGGGTCTCCCCATGAATAGCTAACAAATCAACATCCATTAGTCCAAATGACATGAGAGAAATACGGTCAGTTTCGACTAGAAACGTGCGTCCCGGTTTCGTCACGCGATCTTATGCAATTATTCCACTTAAAAATTCGAACTTTATATCTCTACAATTCAGAACGATAACTGAATGACTTCTAAAGCCACCAGGAAGGAAGCAAACAACATTTATTGGCGTCACACTATTAATCATTTTAAGCGATAAAGAATTTCCATGACGTTAAATTATGCACTAATGCAAGTTATTGATTACATCAAAATGAGTTCATCAAGATTAGATCGTCTGCACTACATAAAATAACATAAAGCACATATTAAACATACGGTCAAAATCAAAATAAGGTGGTCTTGCAAGTGGTTAATTCGAGAATAAATATTGTACAAAAATATGTATGTTGGAAAAAAATAACACACAAATGTAATGCAAAATAAACACAAGTACCCCTCCCGTTTCGAGTTCATGGTCATATTCATTTAATGGATGATAATTTTCAAAGTTTTTCGCGATAAATGAACTAAATTAAATCTCGAATGAGAAGTTACGAAGTGTGAATGTGGCGGCACAATAACACGTTGGTAAGCAGAGAAAGATAAGCTCCTCCGTAGTCTAGTGGTAAGGGCACCTGCTTGGCAAGCGGTAAACGTATGGTTCCATTCCCACCGGAGAAGCAACATTTTTCTTCGCTTACCTACAGTGCACAATAATTATAATAATTTAGGTGAAATCATACAGAAATTTAGATGTTGTTACTAAAACGAGTTAAGTCTGAATAAGTGAATTTCCGCCACGTGTCTTACGGGAACACTTATAAGTACTATCGTTATATATTAAACTGCATTAGAATCATAAATGGTTAATAACTGCGAATTTACAAACAGTGAAATAAAAATTATACGTGTTGAAGGAATCGTCTTCACTTCAAATTAGAAAATCGTTAATAAACTCTTCTTGTACTAGTTATACTCATCGACAGGCACCGTGGTATCGAACGCGATTTTGGCACAATTACAAACTGATTTTACCCTCTTTTACACTCGCACCACCAAAACAAAAAGTGGGTCAAGTGCGCTTCCTAATGTTGTTTTCCAAACCCCTAACGGCCAACCTATAGGGCGACCTTCTGCCAATCCCCTAACCGCGCTGAACATGCATGGTTGCCTACGTTGCTGGAATCATTTTTTATTTTTCAAATGAGGTTTCGCGACTTTGTTTTTCTTAGCGCGTAATTTAATTTTTAAATCGGGGCACCAGAAATATGAAAATCGTACTGCGACATGAATAGAATGTTTATGTCGTGGTTGCATGATTTAAAGCAGCAGATAAATCTGAACTCACAGAACAATGGAACTTCTAGCATTTGTGTATTCAATGCATAATATTATGTAATTTTGATATTTGAAAATAAAGTGCTTACGCGCTGATAACACTGCATAATAAAATAACTACAGAACTTAAGATTAGTGTTGCATACTGTAGTGACAATGATTTACCTCAATTAATGCGTCCTACCAAATTTGAAGTACTAAAGAGTCAACGATAATATAATTAAGTACTTATTGTTCATTGTCACATCCATCAGAATGGAACATGAAGAAGTCTCTACACCTCTCAAACACAGATCTCCGACAACATATATCCTTTTCTACGCTCTAGGCACAGTAACTTTGGTACCTTTCTACTTTTTTGCAACAGCTGCTGACGTAAGTAAAATACAATGACCATAAATTATTTAATTCAAGTAGTACTGGATGTACAAATTTCGAGACCCCGAAAGTAACGTCAGCTACTCTAATGAGAACAGAACTGGCCTACAAGCGGCATTCATACCTGTCTATTCCACAGTGTCATACATCAGTATCGTAGTATTCATAATTTTGACCATACGATGGATCCGGAAACTCACCATACTGGTACGGATAATCATGACGCTTTGCGGTACTATCACAGTGTTTGTTTCCACTTTTGTCTTCGTGAGAGACGACACAGACTCGTGTAAGTTCTGTCTAAACCCAAATGAATAGGTATAATTTAAGTATTCCACAGGGCAGACTGGATTTATGGTTACAACACTTTTAACAGCGTTTTTACTCAGAGGTAAGGTACCTACATACAATGTTTTTCTTTCTAAATTTTGTTGTTTGTAGGGTTTTGTGGTATTTTCTTAGTAACTCTTTTCGAAATGGTATTACAATTTTCTCCGATCTACTTAGCAGTGATTTTCTCAGGTCAAGCAATATGTAGAATATTGTCAGCTCTTGTCGAAATCGTGTTACTTAATACAGACGCAGACCCAGCTGTAAATGGGTTTGTGTACTTTTTAAGTGGAATGTTGATCGTTGTTTTAACATTATTGGGATTCTTTTTCTCTTTGAGTATGTCGCAGTTTTTCAAACACCACTTTTGGAAGGAAAGAGAAGTTGTAAAGCTTGAAGTATCTAAAGAAAAATGTAGAACAATTTTGCATAAACTGAAGTTTTATTTATTATCCATGGTGATTTCTTCCGGATCTACCACCATCATTGATTTTAGAGTCACATCAGTGGTTATTTCAGTAGATCAAAGCAGTGGCAGTGGGTGAGGTACGCACAGAAAAAGATATCGTTCTACTTATTATATTTTTATAGTTCACAAGATGAATATTTTGGTTCCGTTATCACTTTGGTCTACTGCATATCAGACTACTTTGGAAGGGAATTTGCGATGCTACTAAGAAAGGTATGGGTTATTTGTGGCAATTTTAGTTAAAGAATTAATTTTTGATTATAGCCTAGTCGACCTAGTCAAGGTTTAGTTCTTCTGTGTGCAGCCTGCATTCGAGTAGTTCTTGTTCCATTACCAGTAGTGTGTAACGAAGACTATGTTTACATAATTTTTGTTATCATTTTTGCTAGTACTAATGGATTTTTGATCAACATGTGCATCATTCGGGGATCTCAGTGGGTACCTTCTTCCACTTATATGGAAAAGCATACTATTTGTTTTTTGTTACAGAATACTTGCTGATGACGAGAAACCACTGGCAATGTTGTTTATTATAATATTTATTTATATCAGTTCGGTGATGGGTTCCCTTGTCGGCAAAGGTTTAGTTCAAGCCTTTTGAATATTTGATACAATGATTAAAACAAACAAACTGCACTCTTTACATACCTTTTTTCTTACCTTTATTTTTCCTAGTAGTTTGTTTTTTAAATTTAGCTCTTATGATATTCAAGTGTTTGATAACATCAGACTATTATAAAATTCAAAACGACTATCTAAACCCGTAATAACATATGCGGTGATAACAACAGCCAATTAAAATGTGTATGTAGTGATAAGCAAAAGTAACTCGTTACGAAGTCCGACATCATTATTTGCCATGAAACATAGTTTGTAATATAAAAATGTGAAAACAATAGTATTGAATTTCGTTCGTTGTCACAACATTCTATATTTAGCTGCAGAATGACATGTAATAACGGTGTGTTTTCGGATAACTGAGTGTATCTATGTATTACTCATAAGTCATAACAACACAGGTTTGCATATTTCAAGTGTAGGGAATCTCTTCGATATGAGTCACTAACAAAAAATTGTGGTCCGTTGTTTGATAAATAGATTAGATATAAATCGTGACTATTTCTCTTTATCTTTTCACACATGTGGTGCCATTGACAATTAAAACAACAGAGATCATGGAGTACGAGAATTTAGGTGTAGAAATTAGCAAAACGAAACAGTTTTTAATATATATTTTATTTTACGCACTGGGAGTTGTTACACTTGTTCCTTCGAGTTTTGTTACCACTGCTACGGACGTAAGTAGAGAATACTACGCCACTATACAATAGTACTTATTCTTCTATCGTTGCTTCAGTACTGGCTGTACAAATTTCGTGACATAGACAGCAATGCAAGCTACAACAGTGGCAACAAAACAACTCTGCAAGCAGACTTCACTTCAAACTACTCCATAGTCTCAAATGTAAGCTATGTGGCTTTCATTGTGGTTACTAGTCGCTTACTTAGAACTAGAGTAGGAATAGTTAAACGCACGATTGGATCTCTTAGTGTGATAATTTTTTTGCTTATTCTAACTTGTATATTTGTGGAAGTCGATACAGATCCATGTAAGTTTCAGAAATTCTGTTTATATTTTTAACATTGTTGCAATCTTTCAGGGCAGAAGGGTTTCTACGTTTTTACTTTAATAATCGGATTTTTCTTAACAGGTAACATCCAAATGTATAATTTTTCACATTCTTAATCATTTTCGTAGGAATGTCTGGAGTGTTTATGGTAACGCTCTTCGAATTGGCGGTAAAATTTCCTTTCAACCACGTACTTACAATGTTTTCAGGACAAGCTATTTGTGGGATATTGGCAGCTTTGGTTCAGATATTTGCTCTGGGGATAGGAGGAGGGCCGCAAACCACCGGATTAGTTTACTTCCTTATTGGAATGTTGTTTATATTTTTTTCTCAAATGGGATTCGTGGTGGCTTGGCGAAAGTCAGATTTCTTTAGAAACCACATGTTGAAAGAAGCAGCAGTCAGAGGACGTTTCGAATTCAGTAAAGAAGTAATTGTATCCGCTATTAACAAGTCAAAATTTTACATGTTGTCGATGTTTATCGTTTTGGGAGGCACAGTTATGTTGCACCCGGGAGTTATAACTTTAGTTAGTTCGGTCGACAAAGGGAATGGAAACCCATGGAACGGTAAACTGATAGTTGCTTATAGGCATAAGGTAATTTATTGTTTGCAGATACGTATTTCGGACCTGTGGTCAATTTTTTGTTTTTTCATTTATTTGATTTCATGGGTCGGGAAGCTGCAATCTTTTTCAAAAAGGTACATTAACATTTAACAATAATAATAACATATTATTTATTGTTATTAACTAACAATCTTAATATTTTTAGCCAACTAAGGGACTTATAGTGTTCGCAATAAGCTGTTGCCGAATACCACTTATTCCTCTCATTTTGTTCTGTAACGCCACTCCACGTTACCATTTACCCGTGGTATTTGATGCAGATTATGCCTATATTATTTTCCTGATAGTATTTGCCTTCAGTAATGGATACTTAGTGAATATCAGTATTGTCATGGTACCTGAGTAAGTGTAAAACTGTTGCATGGGAAACAAGATTAATTTTTTTTAAAGGGTTACGGACGAAAAAGAGAGACCTTTTGCCATGTTGGGTGTTTTGCTGCTAATGGTTCTAAGTTTGGCGATCTGTTCCGCTACAAGCACAGCAATAGTGAAGGCTCTATGAGTCAAACTCACATGCAACTACTTATTTTTAATAAAACCTTTATATTAGATTATTGTTGGATTTAATTTCGAAAATAACCCTGAAAAATTTCGAAATTGGTTAAGATTCACTGCGACGGTCCAGAAAAATTATCACTGTTCATACTAAAATAGATAAATCCAAACTTACGGTACAATAGATCTTCCATCATCTGTATACCAAACGCATAGTATTATATAATTTAGGTATATCAATCATAAGTTTTTTTTTTCTACGCTATTATTTAATAAAAAACTTAGGCACTGATAACATTGAATAATACAATAAAACTTAAGTTTGAGTGCTGTGTACTCGTCACCATGATTCAGCCCATCTAAGCCGTCCAATCTAAATCTGATCCAAGCTAAAATCTGTAATCACAAAATTTTTTTTTCTAAGAGTCTATATATACGTAGTATGACTGGTGCGATAGTAAATAGTTCACAATAATAAAATAACTAACTCAAATCCACTACCATGGAATATCAGGAAATATGTGTACATCTCAAAGACAAATTTTTTACTACATACGTGCTGTTTTACGCCCTAGGCACAGTAACTTTAGTCCCTTTCAATTTTTTCACAACAGCTACTGACGTAAGTATAAATAAATTAGAGACAAAATGATTTAATTTAAGTAGTACTGGATGTACAAATTCCGAGACCCCGAAAGCAACTTGAGCTACTCTACTGAGAACAGAACTGGCCTACAAGCAGAATTCACAGCTGACTACACCATAGTGTCAAATGTCAGTAACGCAGTATTCATAATTTTGACTATACTGTGGGTTCGGAGACTGACCATACTGGCACGAACAATTATGGCTCTTTGTGGTACTATCGCAATATTTGTTTGCACTTGTATTTTTGTGAAACTAGACACAGATTCATGTAAGTTTCTTTTTAAAGCCAAACGAGTATAATTTGAATAATTTCGTAGGGAAAACTGGATTTATGGTCGTAACTTTGTTGACAGGGTTTTTCCTCACAGGTGAATACACACCTACACATAATTTTTTTTCAAAATTTTGTCGTTTCTAGGATTCTGTGGTATTTTCTTGGTAACTCTTTTCGAAATGGCGCCAAAATTTCCTCCGAGCTACTTAGCAGTGATTTTCTCGGGTCAAGCAATATGTGGAATATTGTCAGCTTTTGCTCAAATCGTGTCATTTAGTGTAGACGCAGATCCAGCGGTAAATGGACTCGTGTACTTTTTAAGTGACTTGTCGTTCGTAGTTTTAACATTAGTGGGTTTCTCTTGGTCACTGAGAACGTCGCACTTTTTCAAACACCACTTCTGGAAGGAAATAGCGGCTGAAAAGTTTGAAGTATCGAAAGAAAAAATTTTAACGATTTTGCATAAAGTGAAATTTTATTTACTAGCGATGACAATTACTTGCGGGTCTACCATTATGGTACAGCCCAGTGTCACGTCATTGGTACTTTCGGTGGACAAAAATAATGGAAATAACTGGAATGGTAGGTACACATAGAAAAAATAATCCTTAACTTAATTTTTTTACTAGATGTATATTTTGCTCCTGTTATCACCTTCTTGGTTTATTGTACATCGGATTATTTCGGAAGAGAATTTGCGATGCTACTAAAAAAGGTACGTTTTATTCGTGTTCTAGTGAAACGACTAATTTTTGATTATAGCCTAGCCAAGGTTTAGTTCTTCTAAGTGCAGCCTGTGTTAGAGTAGTTTTTGTTCCATTGCTCATGTTGTGCAACGCTCAGCCTCGTGATCATTTACCAGTAGTTTTCGACGAAGATTATGCTTATATAATTTTTATTATCATTTTTGCTAGTACTAATGGATTCTTGATGAATCTGTGTATCATTCGGGTATCTCAGTAAGTACCTTATTCACTTATATCGACAAGAATGTTATTTCTTTTGTTACAGCATACCAACTGATGACGAGAAACCGTTGGCAATGTTTTTTATCATGATATTTATAATTGTTAGTTCGATGATTTGTGCCTTTGTTGGTAACGGATTAGTTCAGGCCTTGTGAATGATTATGACTGGAGACTTGGAATTTCATACTATTAGACACAATGATAAAACAAACAATGTGTAATATTTATTTTTTTCCTACCTTCATCTTTCTTTGTTGTTTTTGTTTATTTAGTACTTTTCATTCCAATCAACCATTTGACAAAATCTGACTGAAAATTAATGACCAATTTTTTAATGAAAACTATTTATAGAAGTTAGTCTAAAAACAGTCTTCAAATCAGTATGTACTTGTTGGTACACAGCATTTTAATTGGTTGCCACTTTACTCCTATACCTAAATGACTATAAGTATTTTTTCATATTTTTATATTTTTCTTCAGCTGCTATTCTTTGTTGTTTTCATGCTTTTGTCTTCAAAAACTGAGTATTATAAATTGTCTTGTATTTTTGAAAAATACTTCGTGACACAAGTAACTATATATTTATAAAAATTCTGACGTGAAACTACAATAATCTCCGCCATCAAGAAATAAAAAACCTTTATCATGCTTATCAGTAATGATTTTGCCGTAATAAACCTGAGTTTGTCTGTGGGATAAAGCACCATATCAGAGATAACATCAGTTGAGATTCCTTCTGTAGTGATTCATTTCGTTACTTGTAAGTGTGTTACGCACATAGACGCTAAGACACAAACAAATAATGACTCTGGAAGAAGAAGACAATGGAGGTAACAAATTATAAAATCTCTCCAAGTGACGTTTTAGCTGTGTAGTTTCAGAACCGACCGACCAGATGATAGAGGACGAAAACTCTGGCATAATGGTGAAAGATAAATTTTACATGACATACATACTCTTTTATAGTTTGGGTACCGCGACACTAATTCCTGCAAATTTCTTCACAACAGCAACTGATGTAAGTTATCGGTGAAAACAGACTGTAGAAGTTAAAGTGGTACCGTTTCAGTACTGGATGTACAAATTTCGAGATCTTAATGGCGTAGATTTGAACATAAGTGATACCAACAGCCTAAATCGTACCAGAATGCAAGCAGAATTCGTTTCGGACTACTCCATCGTGTCGAACGTGAGCAACTTGTTTTTTTTGGTAATCACGATCGCTTTCTTGAGGAAGTTAAGCATGATTAAACGAACAATTGGGGCTCTGTGTGGTGCGATAGTCATGTTTGCTATCACCTGTCTTTTCGTACAGGTGGACACGGATACTTGTAAGTACTACCTTCGTTTTTTGATTTTCTTTTCAAAATTCTTCTTCAGGGCAACTTACTTTCTTCATCATAACACTCATAATAGGATTTCTTCTAACTGGATTCTGTGCCGTTTTTATGGTCACCCTCTTCGAAATGATTGCTCGATTTCCAGCTCGATATTTGGCGGCAATTCTTTCTGGTCATTCGATCTGTGGTATTTTTGCCGCTTTGACACAAATCTTCGCTCTTAGTATCGGCGCGAGTTCGACGACTACTGGTTTAACTTATTTTTCCATTGGAATGTTCTTTATTTTTTTGACGCTAATTGGGTTTCTTATGACCCTTCATAAGTCTCAATTTTTTAAATACAATCTCACCAAGGAGATCGAACAAACCGTGCAGCCGAAAATAACGAAAGAATTGTTTTTAACGGTTCTGAACAAGCTGAAGTACTATCTGACATCGATGATTATTGTTTTGGGATGCTCGATTATGATACACCCAGGAGTCACTTCGTTGGTCGTGTCGATTGATAAAGGACACGGTAATCAATGGAATGGTAGGTACTCACTCAGCTTTAAAGCTAAACATTCTACTTAAGTTTTTTGCAGATGTATATTTCGTACCAGTGACGACGTTCCTGTTGTACTATATTTTTGATTATGCGGGGCGAGAGTTCGCAGGAGCACTAAGAAAGGTAATTATATTCACACACGGTTTATAGAGTACACAGTTCCTTTTTTTAGCCAACCAATGGGCTTATAATCTTCATTGCAAGCATCTGTCGAATCGCATTAGTTCCAATGCTGATGCTTTGCAATGCTCAACCACGAACACATTTACCAGTAGTTTTCGACCAAGATTATGCCTACGTTATTTTTATAATAATTTTTTCTTTTACAAATGGATATTTAGTCAATCTTTGCGTCATACATGTTCCTTCGTAAGTATATAGTTTGCTGTAGTCACTTTTTTTAAGTACTTATTTACAGGGTGACTAAAGACGAGGAAAAGAAACTCTCTATGGTGCTCATCTTGGTGTTTATGCTTGTAAGCTTAGGCGCTTGTTCTTTCTTAAGTGCTGCTATGGTTAAAGCACTTTGAGACTTGTAAGACAAGAATGTTACTTAAGTTATTGTTGTATTATTATTGTATACAATAAGAGGGGAAAGTTGTCCATTGTTCTCTAAGAGAGTCGCTTTGTTAGAATACTTAGTACCACCAAGCAGATAATTAATAGTGCCTAACAAAAAAAATAAAACACTAATTTTAATTCTTTTGTTTATTTCTAAAGATTCACCTTCCCTTTTAAGAATTTTATGGATGTACAAATTTCGAGACCCCGAAAGCAACAGTGAGAACAGAACTGGCTTACAAGCGGAATTCACAGCTGACTACTCCATAGTGTCAAATGTCAGTAACGCAGTGTTCATAATTTTGACTATACTGTGGATTCGGAAACTGACCATACTGATACGAACAATTATGGCTCTTTGTGGTACTATCGCAATATTTGTTTGCACTTGTATTTTTGTGAAAGTAGACACAGACTCATGTAAGTTTCTTTCTAAACTCAAACGAGTACAATTTGAGTAATTTCGTAGGGCAAACTGGATTTATGGTCATAACTTTGTTGACAGGATTTTTCCTCACAGGTGAATACACACCCACATAATTTTTTTTCAAAATTTTGTCGTTTCTAGGATTTTGTGGTATTTTCTTGGTAACTCTTTTCGAAATGGCGCCAAAATTTCCTCCAAGCTACTTAGCCGTGATTTTCTCGGGTCAGCAATATGTGGAATATTGTCAGCTCTTGCTCAAATCGTGTCACTTAGTGTAGACGCAGATCCAGCGGTAAATGGACTCGTGTACTTTTTAAGTGGCTTGTCGTTCGTAGTTTTAACATTAGTGGGTTTCTTTTGGTCTTTGAAAACGTCGCACTTTTTCAAACAGCACTTCTGGAAGGAAATAGCGGCTGAAAAGTTTGAAGTATCGAAAGAAAAAATTTTAACGATTTTGCATAAAGTGAAGTTTTATTTACTAGCGATGACAATTACTTGCGGGTCTACCATTATGGTACAACCCAGTGTCACGTCATTGGTGCTTTCGGTGGACAAAAATAATGGAAATAACTGGAATGGTAGGTACACATAGAAAAAATAATCCTTACCTTACTTTTTTTACTAGATGTATATTTTGTTCCTGTTATCACCTTCTTGGTGTATTGTACATCGGATTATTTCGGAAGAGAATTTTTGATTATAGCCTAGCCAAGGTTTAGTTCTTCTAAGTGCAGCCTGCATTCGAATAGTTTTTGTTCCATTGCTCATGTTGTGCAACGCTCAGCCTCGTGATCATTTACCAGTAGTTTTCGACGAAGATTATGCTTGCATCATTTTTATTATAATTTTTGCTAGTACTAGCGGATTCTTGATGAATTTGTGTATCATTCGGGTATCTCAGTAAGTACCTTTTTCATTTATATCGACAAGAATGTTATTTCTTTTGTTACAGCATACCAACTGATGACGAGAAACCGTTGGCAATGTTTTTTATCATATTTATAATTGTTAGTTCGATGATTTGTGCCTTTGTTTGTAATGGGTTAGTTCAGGCCTTGTGAATGATTATGACTGGAGACTTGGAATCTCATACTATTAGACACAATCATAAAACAAACAATGTGTTATATTTATTTTTTTCTTACCTTCATCTTTCTTTGTTGTTTTTGTTTTTTTTTTTCATTTAGTACTTTTTATTCCAATCAAGCATTTGACAAAATTTGACTGAGAATTAATGACCAATTTTTTAATGAAAATTATAGAAGTTTGTCTAGAAACAGTCTTCAAATCAGTATGTACTTGTTGATACACAGCATTTTAATTGGTTGCCACTTTACTCCTCTACCTAAATGACTATAACTATTTTTGTTATATTTTTATATTTTTCTTCAGCTGCTATTCTTTGTTGTTTTCATTCTTTTGTCTTCAAAAACTGAGTATTATAAGTTGTCTTGTACTTTTGAAGAATACTTCGTAACACAAGTAACTATTTAAAAAAATTCTGACGTGAAACTACAATAATCTCCGCCATCAAGAAATAAAAAACTGGATCACGCTAATCAGTAATGATTTTGCCGTAATAAACCTGGGTTTGTCATATGGGATAAAGAGCACCATATCAGTTGAGATTCCTTCTGTAGTGATTCATTTCGTTACTTGTAAGTGTGTTACGCACATAGAGGCTAAGATACAAACAAATAATGACTCTGGAAGAAGAAGACAATGGAGGTAACGAATTATAAAATCTCTTCAAGTGACGTTTTAGCTGTGTAGTTTCAGAACTGACCGACCAGATTATAGAAGACGAAAACTCTGGCACAATGGTGAAAGATAAATTTTACATGACATACATACTCTTTTATAGTTTGGGTACCGCGACACTAATTCCTGCAAATTTCTTCACAACAGCAACTGATGTAAGTTATCGGTGAAAACAGACTATAGAAGTTAAAGTGGTACCGTTTCAGTACTGGATGTACAAATTTCGAGATCTTAATGGCGTAGATTTGAACATAAGTGATACCAACAGCCTAAATCGTACCAGAATGCAAGCAGAATTCGTTTCGGACTACTCCATCGTGTCGAACGTGAGCAACTTGTTGTTTTTGGTAATCACAATCGCTTTCTTGAGGAAGTTAAGCATGATTAAACGAACAATTGGGGCTCTGTGTGGTGCGATAGTCATGTTTGCTATCACCTGTCTTTTCGTACAGGTAGACACGGATACTTGTAAGTATCGTTTTTTGATTTTCTTTTCAAAATTCTTCTTCAGGGCAACTTACTTTCTTCATCATAACACTTATAATAGGATTTCTTCTAACTGGATTCTGTGCCGTTTTTATGGTCACCCTCTTCGAAATGATTGCTCGATTTCCAGCTCGATATTTGGCGGCAATTCTTTCTGGTCATTCGATCTGTGGTATTTTTGCCGCTTTGACACAAATCTTCGCTCTTAGTATTGGCGCGAGTTCGACGACTACTGGTTTAACTTATTTTTCCATTGGAGTGTTCTTTATTTTTTTGACGCTAATTGGGTTTCTTATATTTTTGATTATGCGGGGCGAGAGTTCGCAGGAATACTAAGAAATGTAACTATATTCACACACGATTCAGAGAGTACACAGTTCCTTTTTTTCAGCCAACCAATGGGCTGATAATCTTCATTGTAAGCATCTGTCGAATCGCATTAGTTCCAATGCTGATGCTTTGCAATGCTCAACCACGAACACATTTACCAGTAGTTTTCGACCAAGATTATGCCTACGTTATTTTTATAATAATTTTTTCTTTTACAAATGGATATCTAGTCAATCTTTGCGTCATACATGTTCCTTCGTAAGTATATAGTTTGCTGTAGTCACTTTTTTTAAGTACTTATTTACAGGGTGACTAAAGACGAGGAAAAGAAACTCTCTATGGTGCTCATCTTGGTGTTTATGTTTGTAAGCTTAGACGCTTGTTCTTTCTTAAGTGCTGCTATGGTTAAAGCACTTTGAGACTTGTAAGACAAGAATGTTAATAATTTCGGGGCTATCACGGTCGGAATCAATACATGATCGTTTTCCGGGGTGGAACCGTGTTAATTTAGTTATTGGGGTCCACGTTTACTCACACTTTCGTAAATGGTATCTTCAGGAACAGGGTTAAGAATAAGGCAAAAGAGTACGGTGCGCAATAACTAAATTAACACGGAAAACGATCATGTTGTGACAAGAATGTTACTTAAATTATTCTTGTTTATTTTTGTTTTTAATAAGGGGGGAAGTTGTATATTGTTCTCTAAGAGAGTCGCTTTGTTAGATTGTTTAGTACCACCAAGCAGATAATTAATAGTGCCTAACATAAAAAATTAAAATGTTTTTAATTTTTTTATTTATTTTAAAAATGTACCTTCCCTTTTATAAATTTTAGTTTCGATGATATTACTAGTATCTTCATCATTTTATTATCTATTAATTTTATAAGTCAAGGTCTGAAGGATTAAGATACGTTATCAATGAAATAGCATCTCACACTAATTTGGTTGTGACTCAGTGTGCCTGCCCTAAATTTGGTTTGCACATCTTGAAGTCATGACCCGTCAAAGAGAAGAAGATCATGGTACGCACTTACAAAATATATCAGTTTCTAACCATCCTGTATTATTATTTACATTCCACAGGAGCCATCGAACGGATGATTGAAGAACAATTCGACCCTCCACTTAACGACAGATTTTATTCCACATATATGATGTTCTACTGTCTAGGTACTGCCTCACTCCTTCCGACAAATTTCTTCACGACAGCTACAGATGTAGGTGGGTACTTACAACTAAACCATTCTAGAAAGCTTCTATTTTAGTACTGGATGTATAAGTTTCGAGATCCAACCAACGAGTTCTACACTAGTGAGAACAGAACCACACTACAAGCAGAATTCGTGTCAGATTATTCTATAGTAACTCATATAAGCAATATTGTTTTTATTGTGCTCACACTAATATTCATCAAGAAAGTGAGTATGGTGAAACGGATAGTGGCCGCTTTGTGTGGTTCGATGATTATGTTTTTTCTGACTTGCGTTTTTGTCCAAGTGAACACAGATTCATGTATGTATAGGTATATATTTTGTTAAATGAAGATAGAATCGTCGTTTTGGTTGTAGGGCAACTCGGATTTTTTATAACGACTCTAGTAATAGCATTTATCCTTACTGGTAAGTACGTGTACTAAAGTATTATTCCCATCTTAGTTTTGTTTTCAGGGTTATGTGCCATGTTTACCGCGACTCTTTTCGAAATGGTGGCGAGATTTCCACCTCGCTATGTAATTCCCATAGTTTCTGGATATTCAGTGTGTGGTGTTTTTGCAGCTGCTTTACAGATCATCTGTCTTAGCTTAGAAGCCTCTTCCAATACAACCGGCTTAACTTACTTTACTATAGGAATGTTCTTTATTGTTCTGACGTTGACAGCGTTTGTGGCAAGTCTGTTAACATCGCAGTTTTTCAGAACTAATCTCCGTAAAGAGGTAGAAGAATCTATGAAAACCAAAGTTACTAAAAGGGCGATTTTTAGTCTCATCAACAAGCTGAAATTCTACTTGATCTCTATGTTTATCGTCTTGGGGTGTAGTATAATGATACACCCAGCGGTAACATCGCTGGTGGTTTCGATGGAAAAAGGAAATGGGAACAAATGGAACGGTACGTGGAAACAGAAGTCAAAAATAATAATATTGTACGAGTGTGTTGATTTCAGATGTGTTTTTTGTGCCTGTGATAACGTTTTTTGTCTACTTTGTTGTGGACTATATTGGAAGGGAACTGGCAGCTGTAGTGAAAAAGGTAGTAGAATTTGTAATCTGTAGAACTGAAATTTCATTTTCTGTTGTAGCCAAGCAATGGTATCGTAATCTTAATAGTGAGTTGCTGTCGAATAGCTTTTGTTCCAATGCTGATGTTGTGTAATGCTCAACCGCGTTCCCACTTGCCGGTAGTTTTTGACAAAGACTACGTTTATATAATTTTTATAGTAATATTTTCGTTCACGAATGGTTATCTTGTCAATCTCTGTGTTATACAGGTTCCAACGTAAGTACTTGGATTTTGGTAAACTCTTGATGATTATTCTGTTTTTAGAGTTACCACTAAAGAAGAGAAAGAACTTTCTATGTTGATCATAATGGTGTTCATGTTGTCCGCTTTAGGTATTTGTTCACTATTTAGTCCCGCTATGGTTAAGGCGTTGTAAATTATTATCTGTTTTTCTAGTCAGTCTGAAGTACTTGTACTTACGTAGGTAATAAATGTTTCAGAAAGTATTATTTGGATAATGATATTAGTTTTCTAAATCGATAAGAAATTCGGGGTAGCTTTATGTTACTTAAAAATAGTGACACATTTTTTAGTTAAAACGTAATCTTCTATGAAGATTGATTTATTAGCTACTTTAATTTTAATATAATTATGGATAATAACACTGTAAAGAGGTAATTTTTGAAACCCGAGTTCTAATATTTAGTAAAAAACAATATATTTGTCCATTCTGAAGAAAACATTTTAGATGTCAACACTGTAATAACCCAAACTTACCGCCTTTAAACTGACCTTGAAAAAGTTTGAAAGGCCCGCGAAAAATTTAAAAATTCAAAGTTTGGCCTTGGCTGTGATCGTCTAACAAATGGGAACCTACGTTGTGTTTTTTTTTTTTTTTGAAAAGTGGCGGGAAGATGTTCTTTCATACAAGTGAGCATAGACTGCATGTGAGTTGAGAGCGCAAGAAATAATAGACAAAAATTGTTTTGGAGGGGGAGCACGGCACCTCCTCGCCAGAGGAAAGACGCTGCGAAGATTTACTCCTCAGCGCAAAAACCCCCTTGTTATTATTCCCGGACATATTACATTTCAAACACCTTAAGATATCTGAAAAAGGACACTCGCGAATTGACAGACATACACATATGAAAAACGAACAGACGCAACATTCTATACATCTGTTTGGAATCAATGCAAATATTTGAATATCACAGATTTAATAAACACAACGCAAAATCTGAATTTAAAGTCGCGATCTTTTCTATAGAACCACTCCCTAGTGTAAATTTTCAAAATTTGTTTGGTGTAAGTGACCTTGACGGGTTTCTGGGGGAAAACATATGTGTCAAAAATTTGACAGGTTAGATGGCCCCATTGTCAATGTAGATATTTTATTTTAATAAATAGATGAACAGAACATACAGTCTGCACGGGATACAGTGCGGCATAGCTGAGGGCAACCGAAATATTCGTGTTGTGCTAGTTTCGATTGCCATGTCAACTACCGCTACCAACCGCGTTCGGCGTAAAGTACTAGGTGACAGGGCTACCAACTTGACTTTTTATCGAGTGGTTCCGTAGAAATGACCGCTACTGTAGTAACTGAATGCAAATACACAAGTTATTACGGGCGTGTGGCGGCAGATTTTTAAAGTTACGGCAGTTAACAGGAGCACAACAAAAGTACCCCTGGGGTGTTGTAGCATAAGCGGAGTTTGGGGCTACCGGTCTGGAGCTGTTCTCCCCCCACGACGGTGATTCTATCTATCGCAAAACCTACCCGCACACATATCTCCATTACGAACGTGTCCTGCGGAACTAGGCCATTACGGTCGCCAGACCCCCAAGAGGATCTCGGCTAGCACGAAGCCGAGAACTTTACAACATCGGCGGCCGCCTCTATCCAAACCTGTGGACTTGTACAGGTGACACGATAAATCTCGCCAGCTCGACTAGGAACCGAACTTCGTTTCTGCCACGTTTTCTATGTCATTTAACCTCAATTCCATTTTCAAATATTCAATCTCTTATAACTCTGATATTAACAACAACTACACAAGTGTTAAAGTTTCAACGAGGAATAAACAACATTTTGTGAAAATTTAAACAACAAATAATTCTTATGTGAGATTTTTTAAAAATAGGACATCAAATAATTTATGATAGAAACATTCATCAACAAAGTATTTACAAAACAAACTTAGCAAGGATTTATTAAACAAAAAATCTGGTGTGAAATAACTTGTACAAATAGAAATATTATGGGAGGTTAAGACTGTAGAACCAGGTAGAACATGAAATTTACGTTCAATTAAAATTATACAACAAATAAAATTACTGAAGCTAAAACTGTGAGATTGAGAAATATTGTATGAGGTGAAGAATAATCTGTAGCGTTGTGAGGGCATGCCTCGATTAATTAATCAGTCTGTAGCGTTGTGATGCATGCCCTGATGAATTAATCATGACAACGACGATAACCACCTAAGGGAAGAAAATATCATAACCCCCGCCAGTTCGCAGTTTAATGAACTTGTTTAACTGCCGTAAATGAACTATTATAGCAATCTTGTGTGAAGAATTAAGAAGTGTTATAATGTAACACTTACGTATATGCATCCACACACTTATTCCTAATTAAACAACAAGGTGTTTTCCTGACTAAGTGAATTTCATGAAATCTTCTAGCAAGTGGTTTATTTAAATAATCCTAATTGTTAAACTGTGTTTGCACTAGCTGACGATTAAGAAAAACTAACTTGATTGGTGAATTTACAAACAATGAAACAAATTTACAGCACGTGTTTCGCGTTGACCGGAAATCTGCATTTTTCCGATTAAAAGGCCGCAAGAATTAACCGCGCGGGTTGGGGACAACAGAGTGACGTCAGTTACGATTGATTGTCGTTAAACAAAGGCTTCCTCCCGTTTTATTAACTACCAAACCAACTAATTTAAACCTAGCGCATACCACGTGTTTACACTCACACAAGCACATTCAGAATGACCTTACGCCATGCTGCCCTGTCTCCACCAATCCACCAACCCTGTAACTAAAAACCCCTAGCGCTAAATCGTCCGATTACCAAGCAAGCATTTCCGTGCACGAGGTTGCCTATGTTTAACGATTTCCTTTTTTTTTGATTGAATTTTTTTTTTCTTTCAAATTCAAATTATTCAAATGTGATTTCGCGCCGCTGTTAATTAATTTCAGCGCGAAAACTTTAAATTCGGTCACCACAGTACTTTGGATCATTTTTACTTCCCGAGCGTAAGCTAAGTAATCGAGTCCATCTGACGAATGGATACTTTTATGTTTTCTTGACGGTTCATGACACCTAGAATACGAAAAAAGTAGTCTCCCGTTTCTGGCTGTCTGTCTGTCTGATGTCTGTATCCATTTTTATTAGACACGTAATCTTCTTAACTACCGGATCGATTGTTGTCAAATTTTGTATGTACGTGTATATTAGGAAATCATATAGATGGTTAAATGCAAACTAAAATTTGGCGGCCAAAATTTATATTAGTAAGTTTTTTATATTTTATAAAATAAGATACTACTGCGCTTGTGATGTGTGAATCCGTGTCAATTTTCAGCCTAGACATCCAGATTTTTGGAAAAAAAATTCAGGACTATTAATATTGTGCAATTTAATTTTGAAACTGCAAAACCGAATGCTCTGAAATCTTGTAAATATATTTTAAGGTTAATCATGATAAATCATTAAGAAAAATTTAATGGTTTATCCCCTCCAATAAAATTGATGACGTCATCTCAAAATTTTGCTGAATAAATTCTATGCAAAATGTGCAAAATATGATGAATCTATTCTTGTGATTTATCATTGCTTTAAAACTTTTTAAATTTCTTATACACGGTGACTCATAAACATTTAATTAATAAATGGGTGAATTTATTTTATTGATTAAATAGGGAACGGCTCACTCTATGTTCCCGAAAATTTGGCAATGCAATACTGTTATCATTAGTATTACACTGCACCTATCCAAAGTGATATATGGGTCTTTGCAAAAATGTTGATGACATCATCACAAAATTTTGTTCACGGAAAACTTATTTGATATGTACGCGCAACACGTTTCTTTACATTTACTTTAACCTTATATACTGTTATGTTCAGCTCTCGTTGTTCGGACTACTCTAACTGCTCCCGACGGTGGATCCCATTTAAACAGCACGCGATCCTTCTCGAAACGCCTACGTCACCGGTGCTAGACTTCTCTGGAGCGCCTATTCGCGACTTCCACTTCTATGCTCTTCTCCAGCCGCCGTCACCGACAAAGAGTTATCGGCGGCGTACATACGAGAACCCATAGGGGTCGTTTTAGGGCGGCGTATGGGTTTATTTCGTAACAATACATATCTTTATTTTAACTTACAAGACTTCTCATAAAAAAAATTAAATTCACATAATCAGATTTTATAATTCTTCGGAAAAGCTGAATTTGTTTTATTGTACTTCTGGGGTGAGGGATGTATTGTCGAAATAAGCTTCGACCGAATTTTTGTTGACAGTATTAAAGAAATAAATATAAGCTTTGTAAGATATGCAGTCATCGTTCCACTCATTAATTTTTCTTGAAAGGAAAAAAATAATTTTATAAACTTAACTCCTTTTAAATTAATAAATGAACTTAAGAAAATTATATCATCATTTCCAAATAAAGGTAGCACAACTTAATTGTTTAAAATAAAAAGTAAGTACTGTAATCGGGTCCATTAGACGACCTACTAGTTTTATGTTTTTTTCGCGACGTTTCATGACCTTTAGAGTACGAAAAAATAGGTCTCCCTTGGCAAAAAATTTACAAACTTTGAAATTACATATTGAATATTCTGAAAACTTGCAATCTTTTTAAGGTTATCATGAGCATTGTAAATCATTAATCAAAATTTTTCCGTTTATGTCCCCCCTAAAAAATTATGACGTCTTTTTACATTTTTTCTCATAAAATGTTTCTTAAATTTGATTGAATTACATACTCCAGTATGTGTGATTTAAGAATCCGTGTTGAGCTTTTACCGACATTCATATTTTCCGGGAAAAATTCAAAACTGTGTTTTAAAATTTAATTTTGAAAATGCAAAACCGAATGCTCTAAAATCTGACAAATGTTTCAAGGTTACAGGAAGCACGATAAATCGTTAATCAAAACCTATTACTTTATGGCCTCTCAAAAAATGCTAATATCATCTTACAGTTCTGCCGAATAAATGTTCTTTAAATTTTATAAAGTAACCTGTCCTGTATATGTAATTTATGAATGCATTATGAGTTTTTCCCTAGATTTTTGGAAAAAAAATCAAATTTTTTTATAACAATATTTTGCAATTTAACTTCGAAATTGCTGTCAAATCTTGCAACTATCTTAAGGCTATTGGAAGCATGATCAAAATTTGCCCGTCATCTTACAATTTTCCGAATAAACGTTCTTTAAATTTATATTTGTGGAAAAAAAATTGAGTGTGGTTAATTCATTAATCAGTCCTTTCTTCTGCGTTGGGGAGACAAAATCAAATTTCATTCCCTTTTGACTGCTGATGTTTGTAATCTGAACGTGCTAATAGTTGAATTTTTTCAAAGTCTAAACATAAAGAACATAAACAATCGAAGTTAAGCTTGTACTGAGAAATTGAGAATATCTACATTTTCCCGTTGGTTCTCCGTTTTAAATATATTTCATATTGTCCACACTTGTGCGAACGGCGAGGTGTTAATTACGCAACTAAATCGTTTTTACTTTATAGAGGTTATCAGTTTATCACAAACGAAAATCGCAAAATCAAATTTTATAAGACTATCATTTAAACAGTCAGTAATACATATATTACAGTTTGGGCGAGAATAAAAAATACAAATTGTATGTTCAATAACGTATTGAGCGGTAAAATATGAGCAGCAAAAAAAAAATAAAAACAGGGAGACACATATTTTGAAATGAGTACCTCAATAAATACTTGAATGCGTGAAAATCTAGTTGGGTGGTAAAATAAATAAATGGGCAGTTACACGCAAGCAGTTACCAAGTCAGGTTTCGCCTGTTACAACTATTGAGGTAAACAGTTCTGCAAATATTCATACGTTAACTATTGTTTAAACTAAGCATTTAGTGAAATAAATGGAAACTAACACTAATGGTATTCACGATTAATTAACTTTATAACTGAATTAATATTAATTTTATGTGACTGACGTTTAAGTCTAGTAGTATTTTAATATATTGTCGATTTTTAGTGAAATAAAGAAAATATTTTACAAGCATTATATTGTTACGTTGTACAAGCGAATAAAATCGGCGTAGATAAAAATCAACAATTTTTACACGACTAACTATTGCAGCGATTATGAACAAACTATGTGCGGCGTAACTGGGCTGGCTCTTCTTAACCTTCGCTGGACTCGTGGTTCGACTGAATAATGGTTCCCGACGGTGGCCTTTATTTAAATCCCTGCATTTCTCTAGATGGATCCCGAACGCTGCTTCTAGGTTTTTTTCTAGACCCGGCAATCGAGACTTCCAGTAGCCGGCTCGCGTTCGAGGAGTCATCACCAGCGTACGACCACAAAGCTCTCGACGGCAATAGGCGTCGTACCGGAGCGGCGTAAGGGTGCATTTCGTAACAATATATTTTTTTTTATTTCTTTCTTAATATACATGGCCATCTTTTCACAACAAGAGAACTTAGAATATGGTTAAAATGGTACATTTTTGCAAGGAAATATGGATTATTTCGATATTTCCTTATACAAATTTTCCATTTTAAACATGTTTTAACTTTCATGTTGTGAAAAGAAGCCTACACATATTAAAACAAAAAGGCAAAATGTAAGCCGCCCACTTATTTCTTTACACGAAATTAAAAACATGTTTTTGAGCATCGTGTTGTTCAAAGAATATTATGGATATTAAGAAAAAAAAACGTTAAATATAAAACCCCCCCACCCACCCCCTCCTTAATGATGATTTTTTTCTTACATTGTTAGTTGTGTTAGTTAATTGTAAGGAAATCTGGATCTTGCAATTAAATCCCGCCCCTGGATCTGACAACGAGTGAAAAATTCATCACAATTGACAATTGCGATCAGAAGTCAAAAATAACACAAATGTACGTTAAATCGGTGCTCTGAACTGCACTAATGAACGAAACTAATCAAGTGTAACGCACCTGTACCGCTCTTTTCAACCAAAAAAAGATTTAACTTTTACCGACCGCTGAGAACTGCCCACTTATTCTTTTAGCTGCCCATTCAATTATTTTACCGCTTAAATAATAATTGCACTGCCCATGTAGGATTAAATAACTAACCAGATGTTTAAAAAACCGCCTAAATAATTAATCCCCATTTTATAACATGTATTTTAAAGAAATGGGACTTGTTGGACTCCAAGGGTGCAGGCATTTCTGTCGAAATATATTTTTTTTAAGAATGTGAAACCCTCTCAGGGGCTCCAGCTGTGTTTTTACAAATATGTAACCTTTTCGGGCGCCCCAATTGTCTTTTTTAAAGAAGGTGAAACCTTCTCCGGGACACCAACTGTCTTTTTTACGAATGTGAAACTTCTCAGGGGTATCATCCGTCTTTTTTTTAAGAATGTGAAACCTTCTCAGGGGCTCCAAGTCTTTGTTTTAAAAATATGAAACATTCTCGGGGTCCCTAACTACCTTTTTCAAGAATGTGAAACCTTCTCGGGGTCCCCAGTGTCTTTGTTAAGGAATATGAAACCTTGTCCGTGCCCCCAACGTCTTTTTTTTTAATGTGAAACCTTCTCTGGAGCTCCAACTGTCTTTGTTACAAAGAATGTGAAACCTTCTCAAGAACCCCAACTGTCTTTGTTTAATGTGAAGCTTTCTTGGGGGTTTCAACTGCTTTTTTTAGGTGAAATTTTTTTTGTCTTATACAGTGACAAGTACTTTCTATATTACGAGTAAAATTTCGCAAAACCAAATTTTGTAAATTTTCGAAGAAGCCAACAATTGTACTTCAAGTGCGAGGGAAGTTCTGTCCTAATAATACCTAGCATAAAAATATTAAACTCATTCTCAAAACGTCTTCACCAAAGTATGTTTTGGTAGAGCCAGAAGGTGTAGGATAATTTTGGTAAAAACAAAACTGGTTAAAACAGATATATTATACAAAATCAAACAAAATATCAGTTACAGTAACAGTCGTCATTAGATCAATCTTAAAATCTATAAACTACACGTTAATATACACAAATGCTTACTATAAAATATGAATTTCTCCATTAGTATCTTAAAACCTACAAGGCCCATCTTCGAAGGCAGATTAACGATAAGGCAGAATCGTGTGAATCACAATCTATGATGTTTAAGTACATCTACTTAAAGTAAAAAAATTGTATAAATAAATGGCACGCCATCCAAGAACCTAGTGAATTAATCGAAATGGCAGTAGTATACGATTACGGGGCACTAACCTAAATATTTACAAAAAATAACTTAAACCAGATCTAACTCTTCCCTGCGTACGTTGGATTTTTAAACGTCGACGTGGCCTGCTTATAAATGGGGTTTTCGCCCTGAAACAAACAGAAACAATAATAGAAGCCACATTTTAGAGGTCAACACCAACCGTATCCCATCTTGCCATCATCGCTTCTTTTTCGAATTTGGCAAACTCCCGCCTGTCGTGGACAGTGGTAAGTAACTTCCACAAGAGTAACACAGCCATTCCCAGAAGGACCACAGCTGCTATCACTCCCAGGACGATACCCAAAAGGAAGACTGTTGTTGGACATTCGCGCTCTTCTTGCGCCCGCACTCGTAACTTGTTTTCTTCATCAAAATAGTAAACGAAACTGAATCGACAGTGGTCTTCGTCATAGAAGGGGCAAAGGACTTCGCCGTTTTTGTCGACCACTGAAAACAATTTAATTTTTATAAGGTTGTTGTTTGAGGTTATGTCATCACATTAATTATGTTTTTATTTCGCAAGAAAGCAATTTTTGTAGTCAATATCATTAGGAAACTATCTGTTTCATTTTATTTTGTGCAAGGGTGAATTTTTTTTTTAATTAGCATTAAAATATCGTCAACAGTGAATATTAGGAACAGTGGCACAGGGGGTACACTTCGGGGGCAACCTGCACGCGTAGCATAAAAAGAAGCGAGTCAGGGAATAAATTAATTAAGGTCAGGGACTGTAATATTTTTGTAAACTTTTTAAACCAGAATTCAATTTTTCTTTTTAACAAATTAATTTTTATTACCCCCTTTTTTAACAACGAATTGCTGCGCTCCTGAATAATAGGCCACACAGCGAAAATGACAGCTTTTAACTACTTGATTTTGGAAAAAAAGTTGCGCAATCACCTTATAAAGTAATTAAGTTAGTACAATCAAAGCGGGCGTTGCGGTGCGTTAAGATGGTGGTTTTCTAAAAGGAAAAACTTTAATTTGTTAAAAATTAGTGATAAAATGGGCAAAAGTTGTGTTATTGTGGACCTAGTAACTCTTGGTGATGGTGTTTTGTGTTTTCTTTTGCGGCCAGGGGATGGACAATGTGTTCAAGGGTAAGACGAACTTGGCGTTTTCTGTGCTCCGATTTTTGTTTAAAAAGTTAAAAAAATAAGCCATATCAAAATTTTGTTGCAAATTATCCACTAAAATGTGTTTTTCATGTTTCAGTAAGTTCCCTAGATGATAAAGATTCCATAGATGAACAAGTGATTCTCAAATAATCACAGATGAAAAACGATTTCAAGGTCATCGCGTGGGTGAGTTTTCTATATTTTACTTTTTAATCGCGTTGTTATAACTACATTAATGTGTCTATTAATGAATATGAAATCAAGGGTGGCTTTGGAATGTAAAAAAAAAAATGTAACCGACAAGGCAGCAAAATAATAAAAAATATGTATTCCAGAGCCACCTTGACATTTGAATCATGCATAGATACGTTATGGCATTGTTTAAGTATATTAAAAAATATGAAAATATATATTCAAAGTAAATAACAGAATGTCATAAACTTTAGGCGCTGACATTACAAATAATTACAAGACAGAAAAAAAAACGCATTAAGAACTTAAGAAGGATGTTTGTAATATCGAGTTGTTAAAGGCTGCTTTGGAGACTGTGTTTCTATGAAAAACAATTGATGTTCTCTAACGTTTTGGTAGATTTTGTTCCAAAAATACGAGATAACTAATTGTTTCTTGAACTAGTTTCCGTAACTTCTAAAATTTAAAAAGGAATCTAGAATAAGGTCAAAATCACACTAATATTACATCTAATTTTGTCAACCACATGAATATAATTTACATTAAAATAAGTTACAGACATTGAAATGTTTATTATATTTCGAAAACAAGATAAAATAAATAAATAAATAAACAAAATGTGCAGTTTATAAACTTCAGAATTTTAGTATAAAAATAATCATGTTTGAAGTTTTATTTTGTCTGTTCCATTTTATTGGGTGTACTGGGCCTCTCTCTGGATATCACACTGACATCATTGCACCGCCCCAACGTTCTTCAACCGATGGGATGATTTATTACTTCCGTTATGTTAGCCCTACACACAGCGATCTGGATTTCGGCTATATCTGCACAGTTAACTCTGCGCACTGCGCACTGCACACTCACAGAGTATTTTGTTCACGCCAGCATCAAAAATACTACGCCGAAAGCACTTCTTCAAGTGTTAATTTTTTTTAAATGTAGTATTTGCCAGCGTTTCCAAAATTTTCCTCTTTGCACAGGTCAACTAATTTTTCGTAAACACGCATTTTAAAATTTTTGTTATTGTATATTTTACTTTTTATTTTCCTAAGGCATGAAAAAATCTCATATAGGTTTCTATGAATTTATTAACAAAATCAACTGATAACTTGCGCGCCATTTTGTGTTAATTAATATCAATAGTGATTATGATAATTATATAATTATCATTTTAATGAAATTGTGTTCTTCACTTCGCGAACGACAGCAAACAAATTAAAATTACTGCTAGTCCCGCACCTGAAAATCCATCCCTCCCAAATATTTTACACCGATATACGTTTATTACTTTCTTGGCACGATCTGTAATCCGAAGTCTCCCTCCACATGCAATTTTTCGTCGCCTGAGAACTTGTTTGATCTACAGACCAAAACACACTCAGGCCAATATCGGCTCTAAGCGATTTATCTATAAGCCGACATTCGTTAGAGTTGATCTGATACACATCCACTACGAAGAACTAACCCGTTTCGATCATTGGATTTTACAACGAATAAGTAAACAAAGTTCTTGAACATCTTAACGATTTATTATATAATGTTCCCGAATGACAAAATTTACATTTCAAATTGTATTATCGAATGGTAAAACACCCACCAAAATTTGTCACCAACAATGAAATGACGCAATCTCTAAATTTTACAACAGTACCTATACCCTCCGTTTACGGTTTATGCATCCGTGTTGAGTTTTCACATTAGACGTCAAGATTTTTGGAAAAAAATCAACATTTTCCAATTTACAATGTTATTTAATTTTTAAAAAGTAGCATAGTCCTGATCTTGTGATTTATAAATACGCTATTGAGATTTTTCGGATTTTCGATTTCTCGATTTTTCAACTTTAAATGTCTCAATTTTTGTCCTCTTCAATTTTACGGTTTTTAAATTTTTCGATTTTTCAATTTTACTTTTTTAAAATTTTTCGATTATTCAATTTTTTAAATTTCTCAATTTATCAATTTTTCAATTTTTAACTTTCCTTTTCGGCTTCCGACTCCTCAATTTCTGGATCCTCCGATTTTTCGGTTTTTCGATTTTTAACTTTTGGGCTTTTCAATTTCTGGATTTTCCAATTTTTCAATGTTCCGATTTTTCAATTTTTTAAATTGAATTGGATTTCTCGATTCTTCAATTTTGCGATATTTTAATTGTTCAATGTTTAAAATTTTAGATTTTTCGTTTTCTCGATTTTTTGACTTTTCAGTTCTTCAGTATTTAAATTTTTCACGTTAAATTTTCAGTTTTCTGATTTCTCAATTGATCTACTTTTGATATTCCCACTTCTCAAAGTTTCGATTTTTCAGTTCTTCAATTCTTCGATTTTTCGACTTCGCTTTTTATATTTTAGATTTTTAAATTTTTCGATTGTTTTATATTGCAATTTCTCAATTTTTCAACTTTTCCATATTTTAATTTTTCAATTTTTAAATTTATAGATTTTTCGATTTCTCGAGTTCTACAGTATGTCCCCGGATTGAGTTCACAAGAGGAAAAAAAACTGTATTTTCTATTTTACAAAAAAATGGCATAGGAATAACATTTTTTGCTTAATTCAAAACGAATAAATCTGCAATTAAAACTTCAATATTCCTGGTCTGTAGTCTTAAAATTAATTTTTTCATATTTTCAAGTTCTTCGTTACTTGTAGTTTTTTTCCATTTTAAGGACACAGCCTGATAATATTAAAATTTTAATTGCACATTTATTCGTTTTGAATTAAGCAAAAAATGTTATTCCTATGTCATTTTTTTTTTTAATAGAAAATACAGTTTTTTTTCCTCTTGTGAACCCAATCCGGGGACATACTGTATATTTTAATTTTTCAATTTTCCGAATTTTTAAATTTTTACAGATCTCGATTTATTGAGATTCGGATGTTTCGATGTTTTGATTGTTCAATCTCTCGCTTTATCAATTTTTCCATATTTAAGTTTTCGATTTTGGCCTACATCGGTTTCTCAATTTTTCGATTTTTGGACTTCTCGATTTTTCGACTCCTCGATTTTTTGGTCTTTTGAATTTTCGATTTCTCGATGTCTCAGTTTTTGAATTTTACGATGTTTCGATTTTTCAATTTATTGGTTTTTCGATTTTTTGCTTTTCGGTTTCTCGATTTTTTGATTTTTGATTTATCCGATTTTTCAATTTTTAAACTTTAGATTTTCGAATTTAGATTTTTTTGATTTTTTGATGTTTGGATTTCTCCATTTTTTCAATTTTACGATATTTTAACTTTTCAATGTTTTAAATTTTCGATTTCGACGATTTGCTGTGTTACAGTGGTCATCACTCATCAAGAACGATTATTGCTGTGTGTTAAAATGCCTACATACTGATAAGCACGTACATACAAGACGCATTTAAGGCTGTTTTAAGTCTGCTACATTTAATTTTTGCGATTTTAAATTTGTTTCTTGATGTCTAAATCGTATATATTTAAACGGTGGTAAATATTTTGGGATAAAATGCATTTTAGTTTCAAAGATAATATGTACTTATTTAATGATTTGACTACTGTTAATAAAAAAATACGTAAGAAGATGTTCATAATAAATGAATTTGGTGTTCATAGTTTGATGATAACCCATATTTATTCTGGAGGCAAATTAGAAGACTTACTTATTAATTTCGTACCTTTAAAGTGGTCGAAGGGACGCATATTTGTTTGCGACGCAGTTCATGGATAATATACCGCGATAATATTAAATTTTTGTTATTTTAACCTTTATTTGTTTTTGTGCAAATATATGTGCTATCACATACATGAAACAGGTATGCACTACATATAAATATATTACACATTGTAAAGTCTTCAACACGTACGTTTGCTTATTTTGTGACTGCTCCCCTTACAACGTACTGACTAATACGTCCGTTTACTACCTTATCGACGTAACGTGCTTACAGACTATTTTTACCCTCTTTCGTAAGGTACCGCCACTTCATAGTGAAGCGAGTGAGATGTAAAATATATGTTCATTCTTTTCTACATGGGAAAGTGATTCTCCGTATAGGTTGTCCAACTATAATATACTTAAACAATGGTTGCTTCTGTTAGTTAAAATATTCTATAAAGTGGCCCTTTGATTTTAAAGTTTTTCAGTGTCGCTGTTATGCAACCATAACATTTAGTTATTTTATTACATCAAATTTTACCATGTCACAGGGTTTTAAGTAACTAGTAGTTGCCGAAAGAAAATAATAATAATAAAAAAACTCAACAACGAACCTAGCGTTTGTACTGCTTACACAACACCTATCTTATTAAACCTTCAATATATTTCTTGGCTTTAGCGTAGCCTGTTCATGTGACTTTCACGTGATCACTGGACTTAGTGGTTTAATTACTTCACTTACCTTCTACCACACGCACCGAAGTGGGAGTGAAAGGACACTTCTGGCACTCTTCCTCCGTCAAATTGCCCGTTTTATACTGCTGACACTGGACACACTGTTTATATTTGTTGCAATCGTCGGAACAATTCTACAAAACCTCCGTCAGTCTCAGCTTAAATTAATCAACTAAAACTTACCTTGAACGTACAGTGCTCACAAAAACGTCCAAAATAGAATCCCTCGTCATTTGCGTTACACTTACATTCCCCACAGAGGCACTCTCCGTTCCCTGAACACAACTTCGTCGGGTCTTCCGTACCCGGCCGCAGACACGACTTTGTGTCATTCTTACAGGCACAGTTATCTCCCGTCCAATCTTCGTTACACTCACAAACTCCACAAACGCATTGTCCATGGGTTGGACCGCTGCAGAGTTGTCCTTTATGACGTTCGCAGGAGAAGTTGTCACATTCGCATTGTTCTCCGCTGATTATCTAAAATGAATATAATTTTGTATTTTTCTTTCCATCCTCAAAAATTTACCTCTTCAGGGTTGGTCCTCTGTTCGCATTCGCATTTCCCGCAGATACAGTTGCCCCTTCCACTGCATTCTAGCCCGTTTTTCGGGTTTATACAATTGGCGGTTGAAACGTTCGCCGTCGTGCCAGCTTTATTACATTCGCATGTTGGTCCATATGCGGGTTCCACGCATTCGCAAATACCACACATGAAGGTACCGTGGCTGTGACATTTGGGGGAATTAATCTCGAGACCTTCGTGTTCACACGGACAATCGCAGAGCATTGTCAAGTCGATGATTAAACTCTCGTTCAAACCAACTGGGTATATTTGGATTAGTTGTTTCGTGTCTCGGGGGTCAGCAGGACACTCAACCACTTCGAGTTGGATGCGGAACTGAACTAAACTGCCTACTTTTATGTTCCCGCATTTGTTGGTTTCCACTTCTTCGTTATTGCCGTTAAGGCACTTTGAGAAGAATTTAATATTGACGGCGCTCGAAGCGTTGTGCTTCATCTCAACGGTGGATGAAATAGCTTGATATTGTTCAGTGATCAAATCAACCACATTCGAGGAGTCATTTGATAATTGACCGCATGAGGACCCTTCAATGTGTTGCCTGAGCTGTTCGTAGATATCCACTTTATCTTTAGTGACTGCGAAAATCACATTGATGGCGTTTTTCTTCACGTATGTATTGATTTGCGATATGCTGGGATAGTCTTGCCTTGATGACATCGTGTAGTATCCTTTCGTGTCCAAATGGCATTCACCATCGTTCGGTTTGACGATTCCGCCCAACTATAATTCTTGTAAGATTTTGGTCATTGAGAAATCGACTCATACCTTGCCGTCTCCTGCGTAGTGGAAGCCAGCGTCGGTTGAAAATACTAAAAGACGTCTAGCCTTCTCTCTCCAACCGATTTGGTCGCGACACACTACAGCTTGCATGATCGCGTCAAAGCCACCTTCTGGTGCGTCTAGATTGCCAGAAACTGAGGCACTTTTCACCATTTGCTAAAAAACGATGGGTGACTGGAAATGCGTTAGTTTTGGCTGAGTGTTAATGTTAGAACGAAATTGTGAGGGTTGAAGAGTGTGAAGTACATCATTCGTTAGGTAATTATTTACATAACATAAATTATCTCGAATTTGGTCAAGGTTGAAAATTGCAACTTCTTTGTTGGTTTCACTTTTTAAATTGCAAAGGTCCAACTTAAATTAAGTTGAATTATAAGAAATATTAGACGGTTAGCTACAGACAACATATATGGATTTTTTGTAAAGATGAAGACACACAAGACAATAAGTAAGATACACACTGAGATGAGCAGCGGTCGTTTTCCACATTTTAAAATCAAATCTGTACAGTACTTTTTAAAATTATTACTGAACTGAAAATATAGCAACGTGATTTATCATTTATTTCTTTTTCATGCAACAGTTGGTTCAAATAGGGTTTTCAAAATTAGGTGTTTTATAATTTAAAAATATCTTCTTCTAGTGACTTTTAGAACCGTTTACCTTATTCCGTTATAATAACTTGTGGCAACTGTTAACAAATATAATATAAAAATAACAAAATATATTTTCAAATAAATATACCAAGTCTTTTTGACAATTCGCGTTTAGATTTTTTAACTTGACATTATTGCTAAATGTACAAAAACAGCCAACAGCTAAAATAAAAGATCAGAAGAGATGTAGAAACATGGGTGAAATTTAAGACAAGAGAAAATGAGAAAATGGAGTTAAGTACTCTGAAAGTATGATGCAGCATAAAACTGATTCAACCTTGCCTTACAATTCTACGAACGTCAAAACAACTGAATACGTTAATAAAATGTGGAGACGATAAAGTATAATGTGGTGCTAGTTTGTCAACTAAAGGACAGATCAACTATAAATGTCGACAAGGAAAGGAATCAACGGGTGATATTAACCGTTAAAAATTTATTATTTCTGTTATAATATTATTAAGAGTACTAAATTTTTAGACACTTTTAGAAGATGCAGAAGAGTTATTGCTACTTAATCATGCACAAACACGTTACGTTTTAGAGGATGTTACAAAACCATTCGTTGTGCGATTAGAGTCAAGTCTTACCGCAAAGCATTTGTTAACGATTACACTTACAGAAAACCGCCATGTGTCTCGTGACAGAGTCATCACGTTCCTGAAACCGTATGGAGCTTCGCATCCTGAACACGGACTACGCAGGCTATAACCATAAACTAATTCTAACATCTACATGCAGCATTCTTTAAAAAAACATTCCACTTATCCTCACGAATAAGTGGACGTTTGTGTACAGTTCAGAAATGAGTAAAAAGAAAAAAAAAAGGCCAATTGGTACTGTACACGTAGTCCCCTGGACCTCCTAGCATGCCCTCATGCTCCTTCAGACCTGCAATGTTTCACCGCCTACTAGACCACGAACATTGACAATATTGACATGCCTCTAGAGAAAGAGCAAAGAGAAAGACTCACAATGCCAAATGTCAAATCATCAGGAGTGGGATGAACGGGAAGGGGTGAAAGTTTAGTAATAGTGCGAGTGTCTAAACTTACAGAAAACATTTTCGTGTTAGTGCTCAGTGGCATGTGATTGAGAAATCCGTAGGGAGCGACACATTCGTTGCAGGGGTGGCGTAACCTGGCCAATAATCAACTGTTAAATGTTATATTATGTAACAGGTGCCGAAACAGCAATTTTTAGCACAACGTGAAAATGTGGTGCAAAAATGGCGTTCTGGCACGTGTTGCATGCGCTGGTTTTCTACACTCGGGTCAAAAGAGAACAGAACTGCCAGCCACAAGAAAACAAAAACTCAATTTACTTACTTCAACGATGTTAACGTGATTTGAAGTATTACAGAAAATTATTATTTGGATTTTATCATGCTTTTTATAAACACCGGATCTGGCAGATTACACTGGCTACTATCTTTGAAGCTCCTCAAAAATTTCAGTTTTAGGATTTTTTACTTAAAATTTTCTTAATTTGTGTCAATAATAATAATAATAATAATACAAGACCAAAAAGTCAATAAATACAAATATTTCGTCAACTAAGAATTATCTAGATGTTTTGTGTTCTAGTGATTTTCAAAGTCATTTTTGACACGTGCGTAGAAAAAATATTGGCAACTACTCTAGAACTAGACTAGATCGATTAATAGCTGCCAACTTTCCAAACAGCCAATTTAAAAACGTACTTACTTCTCGGGTATCGTACTGACGTAAGGCATCACAACCTTATCAACAAAACTTCCAAAACCCAACATGAATTTCGACGTCATATTTTGCATAGTTTGGGCGAGGTGGTCACCCAAAGCCGACAACTTTTCCTTGTCGTCCTGCATAGACTTACTCAAGTCCATCAAATAATACAGGTCAACTGGATAATCTTCCGCCTGAGTATAATACATGCTAATGCTGTACTGCTGTCCTATAACAACATCCACAAGTGACGATTTCTACACTTTTAGTCCACAGAACACTCACTCGCTCTTAGTTTTAGTTTAATTCTTTGTGGTCTAACTTGAGTGATGCCGCCACCTCCTTCCCAGGCGCCTCCTCCGTAGCCACTGCCACTTTGACTACCAGAAAAACTTCCAGAGGACGACGAACTTCCCTCGTATCCGGAGACAATGGTTCCACCTTCACTTCCTGATTCTTGGCGCATCGACAAGGCCGCGTTTGCAATCATTATCATTTCGTTGTCGGGGTTGTAGATTTTCGAGGGGTCGCATTGATCGAGAGGAGGTAGAGGGTAGCTCGGTTGGAAGCATCGTTTGGTTGTGTTGATGTTTACCTGTCAGCAGCGGTAACGTTTATCTTGGTTTAGGATTTTTGACAACTCAAATTTATTTATTTATTATAAATTTTGATTTTGGATTATTAGTTTTCAGCCACATCTTGTATATTTTCAAAAGTTGATGTTCCATGAATTCGAACACCAAAACTTAATTAAAAAAAAAATTAATAGGCATCTCGCCAGTGAAGTCATGTTTTATTACTTTATCTTATCTAATAACTACACTCTAGATAAAAGATTCCACTTCACTGACGGTAGACACAAGTAACTGTTGTCTGGTAATCTAAGTAATTAAGCCTGCAACATTAGCGAGCAGTCGCGTTTTCAACCGGAAAGTTTACTAGACATAAATTTCGAATGATTACTTTGTATAATTTATTACTTCAAGGGTGCAAACTAGATACGTGTATTTAATATTTTTATTGGAACGCTATTACAGATGTTATTAGACTCAAGTACAAGCACATAAGTTTTTTTTTAGAATTAGTATACAAACGTCTCTTTGGTGTTTTAAACCTGGGGTATATTATTTCGATTCAAGCTATAATGAAATTCATTATCTAAATATGTTCATCAAATCTAAAATTTGCAAGCGACGTCGTGTACTTTCAAGATCATTCAATGTCCTCATATTCGAATTTGTGTCATTTTACAATTTTCATGTTGTTATTTATTAGGTTTTTCAAAAGTTTGTTCAATAGACTAATCAATGTGGTTGCATTTTGTTGAGATTTATCCATAATTTTGAAGATTCTTGGAATTTTGAGTTTATTTTTAGATTTTCGGTGGCCACCTTTTCCAGTAATTGCAAAAATTTCGATACCACCGGAACGAATTTTAAAGTTTAATTCCCGTAGATTTTTTTAAATGTTCCACATTTATCACGGCTTTATTATTCGTAATTCTGGTTCGGCTAAAAAACCTGACAACTGTCTACATTTAATCATAATCTTCAAGTCTAATAACCGATTTCTTCATTTCGGTCTTTCTTCTATCCATTCAACCCAGTTAAACTTACTGTGTCATAACACCACGCGCATGTGGGAGTCGCTATACATTCATGGCAAGTCGACCGTGAAACACATGGGTTCTGTGTGAACTGTTGTAGAATCTGTGATTTGGCTACCGCCAGAACAGCCCAGAAGACGACACCCAATAAATACATTCTGAAACAATAATTCAATCAAATTAATTTAATCTTCTCGACCCAGATGGAACACGAAACCGCTTATTTATATCCGTATATTGTTTACCCAATTGCACCACGGCGCCCCACTTCCTGTATATTACAAGACCCAGATGCCCGTCTTATCAAGCCCAAAGGGTTAGCGCTCGGGCTTATGACCTAGAGTAACCGCGTCATGACGACTTTTTCAAAGAAAACACCAGTTGTAACCACACGGACTTGTTCGCCTTAATTGGTAATTGCAACTCAGTTAGGATGAATGGATTAGTCAAGATAACCATTGTTTATGGTAGGATTTATTAGTAATATGACACACTACTTGTAAACATTTATTTTTGGAGAGTGACGTGATGGAGGGGGGCGTCGCGACGACGGTCCGCAGGTAGATTATGGATACAACAGGTTTTTTTTTTTAATAAATAAAAGTGAAATTTATTTAATTGGCACACGTCCACCCACATGCTCCAGATGGAGGAATATGGTAGAGTTAAGGGTCGGATTTGCCCTATTTTTAACCCATGGCGGGAAGTAGTGCGACTGGGTGACTAATTATTCTAAAAATATCCCTTCGTAATTGGATTTCCTTCGAGGCATTGGTTATTTGTGGAGTAATTGGTAAATTGCTTCAGTCGACTCTGCTCAATTACGATAACAGCAAGATTTTTTTTTTAATTAAATTTGTTATGGAAATTGGGTGTGTGTTTTTTGATGAAATTAATGGTTATTTACATAGTTGTTAACACATAAAGAGCAATTGTTTATACAAGTGATGTTATTGGGAAATGGTATCTTATCGATAAGCGATATCTGGCAACTTTAATGATAATCATATAAATTTACCTGATTTGAAGATTGATTTGTGATAACTGATATCTATCTAATTTTCATAATTTCGTCGATAAGGAACCTCACAACACACAGCTGCACACACCCTCCATTATTATAACTAGCGAAGTTGTAAACCAAATAAAAAAGATAGTGACTCATTGGATGAGTAATGACAGCTGTGCTGCCATCTGTTGTGTTTACGCTAAATCTGCAGCAAACACCTGTACGAGCAAAGAATGTCCATCATTTGAAGTTTGTTATTCTACATTCTCTCTGTTTTTTAATAAACTGAAAAATTTAAGTACTGCAGAAATTTCATTTTTTATTCTCATCACCATCAGCATTATTATTATTATTATTATTATTGAATTAGAATGTGATGCTACAGAACAATTTTAACTCTGCTCTCTGATACATATATATTTTTTGTAAACGTTTTATATTTAATAAAAATAATACTAATAATAATAATATTCAGAACATACTGTTCGACTGTGGCTGAATCAATATTTTAATCCACTGTTTTGGAGCAACAAACTCTTCAAATCAAACAAATTTCTACGCAATTCAAGTGCTTGTTTATACATTGGAAGAAACTTGTTTTTACTGCTGGGAGGCCATTTTTCCCGTTTGTTATCTGCTTTAAATTACTTTGTCCGTACTTATGCAATTTGCACAGTCCCTTACAATTTGCGACCGCGCGGTGCAGGGGCTGCAAGGGTGTTTTTTTTATGTCGCCAGTTTTTATTTTATATGGGTTATCATAAAACAAACATTGCAAAATCTAATTTTATCATTTTTCAAAGAAGCGAGGGAAGTTCTGTCTAAATAAACTTGAACCAATTTTTTGAAACACAGAATAAGTCACGTCCTCTCACGATGGCAGAAGTCTTTTAGGAATTATCAGCTTACGTTTATTTGAAAGTGTTCGAAAGTTTTTCGGCAGTTTTCGACAGGCATTGGAAACCTTGTAGTTTAAATATATTGGTGCAGTGTTTTACCCAGCCTAAGCGAAGGAAGTAACTGTAATCAAGTCCATCGGGTCACTAGCTACTTCCATATTTTCTTGACGCTCTGTCTGTATTTCTGTCAATATTTCTGTGTTTTCATCAATATCCACTACAACTTTTCTAGATAAGTTCTATTCTAGACCACTGTTTCTATTCCTAGTTCTATCATTTCTATCTAGACCGTGCAGCTTCAGTGTTTCCCTCAAGTTGTGCTTCTGTCGTTATATTCCGTCTATGTAACTTCGGCGAACGTCGGGAACAATCGGTAAATCAGTGGCGGTAATTCTTGTTTCTGTATTTCCCGTCAGTAACTTGTTGGACTTTCAATTCGCCAAATGATGAATTAAGCCTCCACAGTTAGTGGCGTTCGTCATGGCATTTTGAATCTTGATTCTTTTTTTAGTCAATTTACTCTTTTATATATACATTATGCCATGTGCAAAATTTCAGCTTTCTAGGTCTAAGGGTTTGGGCTTCGCGTTGATGAGTCAGTCAGTAAGTGAGTCAAGAGTTTTCTTTTCTTTATGTATTGGTAATATTTACAGTTTTTCTTTTGCATTTCTGATTTAAAAGATGTCTGTATTTTTCCACTATTACTTTTTATTACTTTTTAAATGTAGAAAGTTCTAATACTTACGAAAATGTAGTACAATTTCTAGTATTTTGATTATTAAGGTTTTGGTAAGAATATTGAAAACCGGTTTGGTAAATAAAAAATTTATTGAATTGCATTTAAGAAATAATAAGTGTATAATAAATTACTCTTAATCCTACTAAAATATACAAATATATAATTCTTAACTTGTATCACGAGATATTATTTGCAAAAATGGAATGTCTTACGTAATTATAAACAATAAAATTATTTACAAAAATTGCAAACAACAATAATTGTTGCTAAAGTTAACATTGAAAACATGTAGCAAATAGAGTGATTGTTTTCGACAATTTTAGACACACTTTATCAGAAAGAGATTCATCACAATAGAGGCACTACCTGTAGATCACATGATATGCTTGCTTAACATTTTGAATAACCTCCACGCCTCGGAAAACCAAAGCTTTTATTAATTTTTTTTAATAACAAAGAAAACAACGCTAGTGCGTCATATTTACAAACATTTAACACATTAGGCTCATTTTTAGAAAAATATTGTGGTTGTCTGTATAGTCGATAATTGACGTTTCTTACAACTACTTATCGATCTAATTTGGGCAGTTGCTGATGAGCAGCTTTGAAGTACAGTCAAGTTAGGCTTTTACTGAAAAAGTAATATACAGATAATGGTCGAAACTGCCAAGTATGTATAATATGATACCATCCATTCTACATGGATGTTGTTAACTTTGATTTACTTTTCATTTCAAGAATAGTCATAGAGTTAAAACAACTTTGTGTCGTTGCAGATGATGTCATGTCGCTTTCTTACATACGTATTACTCCATAACTATATACAATGCATTATATTACTTGTGAAAAAAGATGATGGTTAGCATTACATATTTATTTGTCCAAAATCATGTATTTTACTGTCTTATTTAGAACCCGTGAAACACGGAGGGAAACAATGATTAACCTTCAGCAATATCAGTTATTTGACTATACTTTCGATATTGTTGTTAAATGTTTGTAATCTATATGTTAGTAGATTAAAATAGAGCTACATTATGCATTTATTTACATATCACCGTCTTCTGACACAGTACTAGGATGGACTCGCCCGATTAAGATTCAGCATGATTCGGCTTCCTGAATTTAAGCAAAGAGTTCTGAGGATTTATAGCTTCAAAGATTTGATAATTCCTCGGTTCTGGATTACGTTCCCACAGAAAAGGGCAATCTTCTCCCTTTCCCTCATCAGTGTCTTCATCAATATCTACCGCAACATCTTTAAAACAATTCCTGTTTTGAACACTCAATACTTGTCCCTTATCGTCTGGAATACTATGACTCTTCCTCAAACTCCCTTTCGTTAGAATCTTATCCGCGTCGAACCCCAGCATCTCCAGTACTTCCCTCGGGTTCTGCGTCACCCACCTTCGTATCATCTCGTCGTCTTCCGTCTGTGTCCCAACTTCGGCGAACGTCGGGAACGGCCGGAAAGCCAGTGGCGGCGACTGCTGCTCCTCCCAGTAGAACATTTCCGGAGGATGCGACGTGCTCCGGGCTAACAACGCGTTCCCAGAACCGCTATGGTGTAAGTTGGGGTTCGAATGGACAGAGTAATGAGCCGAGCCGCCACAGGAAGACGGAGTCGTCATCTCCTGCAAAGCCTGGATGGCGTTTCGCACCTGCAACAAAGACACCTTCAGATGTGTTGGTGTGGGAGGAAGTGCAATAAAAACCTCCATGCTGAGTGTCGCCACGTCCTGGTGCAAGCTCGTGATTTGGTTATCCAAACGGTCGACGCTGTTTCGCGTGTTTTCCACGTCGGTCTTCAGTTCACAGTTGACGTCTTCGAGGGAGCTGGTTTTGGGGTGGTGAGGCAGGACGACGCTCCTTTGACGTTCGACGCGCTCTCGCAGCATGGCTAAGTGGTTGGTGGCGACGCCGCCCAGGCGGGGGCGGTTGCGGGTGGCGTTTTCGTGGAATTCTTGGAGTCTGAAGAAAAATTTAGAGGAGGAGGTGGTTTAAAAGGTGGAAGGGGTACCTTAAGTTGTATTTGGCGTGGCGGGGGCTGTTAGAAACTGCGTGTAAAGGCGACCTGTTGGGTGATATTGGCGACGTTTCGCCTTCTTCGTGTAGATTCTCGTCGTCTTCGCTAATGCTGGGTAAAGTTAGCGATGGCATTCCGTTGGCGTCGGATTCTTGCTGCAAATAATTCAAGCGACTTTATAGAGGTGGAAAAAGTAATAATTTAACAGAGTACTAAATAAAATCCACCAACAATTAACACTTGTTGCAGTGATGGTTATTTTAAAACTGGTGGTTCATGTATACGAATTAGAATTTTTTTGTACCTTATAATTTCAAACATATGATGTCATGCTTTAAATGAAGTAAACATTGTGCTTTGTTGCTTGTATTGTTAAAATTGAAAAGAAAACACCACCTGTCAAAAAATTGATCTAAAGAGATGCTCTTTGGATCTTAACTCGTCGTCTTTGCATGGAGGGCTATTTTGTTCATCTTTTCTTTAAAAAAATGGCCCAAAGTTATTTTGACAGAACTTCTTTCTCCTCTAAAGTAGTCCAATAAATCCTGCTTCTCTGAAAAATTATGAAATTTGATTTTGCGAAATTTTATTTTTTGCGATAACCTTTGTGTAGTAAAAACAATACATATAGGAAGTATTCGTCACAGTGTAAGAGAAAAAGGAAAGTTTCACTTTATTAAAAAATAGACAATTGAGGCTCCGAGAAGGTTTCACATTCTTAAAACAAAAGTCAATTGGGGCCCTCGAGAATAAGGTTTCCCATTCTTAAAAAAAATAGTTGGAGTATTGGGTTTTGTAATTTCAAAAATGTTAAATTTGCAAAATGTTACATAATTTTAAAAGCTGAACACGGATGCATAAACCACATGCGAAGGAGTATCTTACTTTATAAAACTGAAATAATATTTATTAATGTCAATTTTCGAGATGACGTCATCTTATTGTTGGTGAGGATGTTTATCCAAATTTTGATTCCTAATACCCCCATATAATTTCACAACGCACAGACGGCCGACAGACAGATAGTCATACGGAAACGGGAGACCTATGTTTTCGTACTCCAGGGATCATGAAAAGTTGAAACATAGAAAAAGCCAGGAAGTAAAAAAAGATTATTTTATGTAAGGAAAACGTAACTACAAGACAAGAATGGCCACGCTTTTTTATAATATTGTTTGAATAATTTATTGCCCGCTTTATCAGTCACAGTGCTAACCGTTCTAAATTAAAATTTAACGTTAATAGGTACTTTTTGTCAGTATGTACTATAGAATATTCTATCTAAATCAACAGGTGGTGTTTAAATAATGAATATTTAATACCATTTCATGAAAAAATAAGTTTCTCTATAAGTTTTTTTTTTACTAATCAATAGGTAGTACTGATTTCTGCGGGCCCGGATGTCTCTTGTTCGCTATAGTGTACCCATTTTTAAACTTCGTTAAAAGCAACAAGCGATACAAGATTCCACCCTTGCTTGAGCAAATATTGCCAGAGGAATTTGCGTGAATATTCAGGTTATAACGCCATCCTTACCTCGGCCTCGTAACCCTCCCTAACGTTGAAAGTTAGATCGTGTTGGATGTCGTTGGCGAATTGTTTTTGATATTCTGGATACAGGCGTAATACGTCGACTAATCCTTGCATATAAATGCACTTTAGGTCACAATAGGTGAGGGCACGAACGTCGCTGCTGGATTTTATGATAATGTCGGAGGAGCCGCCGATCCTGCCCGTCTCAGAAGGGGGGGCATTGGAGGGATGCTGGAGGTGCAAGTTTATGTCGCTGCCTACGAGATCGCCTTTGCCTGTTTCGAAAATGTTGCTTTAGTAAATACCTAAGTTTTGCTGGATTGAAGGGTTGGGTGTTCTTGTGGAAGGGTTTAGAGAGATGCGTTGATGTAGGTGGAGATTAATTGCCATAGTAAAAGAGGAAATGGGGTTGACGGGATCGTGACTATATGTATATATTGGAAAGTTTGTGACTGACAGAAAGCGAAACTAAAATGACATGCTGATATGAGGTAAATAAACAACTTAGAGTACATTGTATGGTCACCATTCTGGAAAAATAATGACTTTAATAAATTTTAATCGTAATAAACAATGCACTACTACTTTAGTAGGTAATTATGTACACTTTGATAAAATCTAAAACGATTTTCATTCAACGTGGCTACATAATGTAAAACTGGTTTTGATAGCATTGGTTCAGTGAACGTTTTCCGGCTAGTAATTTTCAAAAGACTGAAAACTGTTTTGGAGGAAAATTGGCTACTCTTAAAAAATCTCGATACGAATAGATCTAGAAAATAAAATTAAATAAATTGCCTTACTGTTGCTGTAATATCCAGGTCTTGCCTCTCTGATTTTTTTTTGTTTTAAGATCACTAAAATTCGATTGATACTAAAGTAACAATTTTATCACGTTTAAAAAAATCATTTTTGGTAAGAACTGTAGCATACAAGCAAAGAGTTTTATAGATACATTTGCTTTACTAAAAATTGTGTTGAATTTATTTTTATTTTATTTGAGTTAACATTGCACCCTAGACCAGGTTCAGGTCGCAGCGTGTAAAACCCATAAGCAATGCATTTTATATGGGCAGTGAATTGTCAAAACCGCAGCGCAATCCCTCACAAAAGCATTGTTTATTGGCTTTATGTGCCACCAACTGAACGTGAACTGAGAGAATAGAAATTGACATTTATACCAAAATATATTAAACACAACAACTACCTATGTTTACGTTTGTTAAAAATAGTAATAAATATCTCGGTGAGAGCTTTGGTAATGTGTTTTATATCGCATTGCAAATTTTTGCAGACTCATTATTTTCCGTGAATAACCTTATATTGACACGCATTTCGGGAATACAATTCGTTAAAAACCCTCGGGCAAATTAAATGTTTTACCCGGGATACAATTTAGAAACAAATGTGAATTTTTGGGTGGCAGCTACGAAGTTATGATGTCATTAAGCGTTTTTTTTTCGTAAAAACCTTGTGTTGCTATGTAGTCATTATAAAGATTTTTAAATAAAATCCTTTGATGCTAACTCAAAAGAATATAAAAAATTGAATGTAATCATGGAAAATTTTTGATTAGGTAAGTAATGTTTACTTTCATTCGTGATATATTACTTGTTTTGATGAACGTAAGCAGTGTATAATGTCTAGGTGCAATAAATATTATTGCTGCTAAGACAAATTGCACATGAAAAATTACATTAACAAAACGTAAGTTGGAAAACCGACAAAATCGATATATTTTAACAATTCTGAGAAGTGAGTGTAAGGTACAGAGGTAACACGCCTACACCAGTTTTTTTACTGTAAACATTAAAAATATATTTGCCATTAAAATAGTCACAATTTCTGAGTTAAAAAAAATAATGTAGTCTTAAAAGTTCAATTGAGTCAACTTCGTCAAATAGTAAACATTGACTTTCTGTTTCAAAAATTGCTTATTGGAACCCCTAATAAATAATTCGAGATTATCATAGTGATAATTTGCAACGTTTGCCGGCTTTTGGGTTGCTTGTCTTCAACTTAATCTGTGTTCATGGTTTGATTCATAGAACTTAATCCTTTCAGGATATTTATTTCTATAGTTTTTTTTAAATATTCTATAGCTGTACATTAATATGACCTGTTTTGTTTCTTTTTTTAAAGTGTACACTAAAAATAAGAACATCAGTTTAAAATTTCAAATTTTTTCCTAAAATGTTTGTAGGTTTAGTAAAAAATTCGACCTTTTGTCAACAATTGAAATTTTTATTGAATAATAATCATACCTAAAAATACATTTTTAATGTTACGATTAGTGATAATTGTGACAGTTAATTAACTGCATAGGTGAGTACTTCTCGGGTTATTACTATTAATCTCATATTTAAGAATTTCGCATACTAACACCGGGATACAATTATTTAAAGTTTCAAAATTTCTCCTCTTGACTAAGTGGGTCTCTCTGAATTATAAATGCATCGTCGGCAAATCCTCTTTCGCCATTAATAATTAAAAAAATAATAGCAAAACCGACTTACCAAGTATGGCGACGACCATATTGTTCTGTACCACTTCCATGGAGCCGTTGCAGATGTAGTAAATGTAACTTAAAGCGTCGCCTTTGTGAATCAGATATTCGCCAGGGGCACAGAAGTTATTTCTGATATGTAAAGAGAGAAGTTTGAGACATCCTTGCGAGGCTTCTTCGAAAATTGGTAATTGCAGAATTTCCCTGTGAAGGTGCATGGAGACGTCGCCTCTTAATTCTTCGGGGAATTCTTTTAAGGTCTGTTGGAATTTAGCAAGTTTAATGGGATGTTTGAAATGAGGTCGGTAAGATAAATTAGAGGAAAGTTCGTTTGCTTGAGGTCCTTAGATTGTTGAATATTAATTAAACGAAATTGTTGATTTTTACTGCGAATAAAGGTTACTTAAGATGCGGCGTTTGTGTGTGGTTTAGGCAGCCGGAATTAATCATAAGAAGTAATTACTGCGAGAGCTGCGGGAAGAGAGCTTTGGCGTAATCGTAAGAGAATACTGCTAATTTATAGAGTTCGAATAATGTTGCTGTCTGAAAAGCTGATGAAATCAAGTTCGGTTATATGAGTATTCTCGGTAATTATAAAGTTGAACAAAGATTTCAAGTTTTCTCGGAATTTTGCGATGTTTACAGGAAGTTTAAGAGTTATATTGTTTTTACGTAAATAGTACTTGTAACTAAAGCAAAACGACTGAAGAAATCGTAAGTTTAATTTAGGTTTTGCTCATTGAGCTCTGGATAAAATAATAGCTACAAATTATCAAGATTTCAAAAACGAGGATGTGATGATTAAAACACACTAATGCATATATGTTTGGACCAATGTTTTTGATTAGTTGCTGTTATTTTGTCACTGTTATATCAGATTTTGCTAATTTCGAGAAATAATGTTTAATGTTTAGTAATTTTAGAGAATTTCCGTTATTCTTTTTAATAAGTTTGGTATTTAATTTTTGATAGGCTTTTCAAAAATTGGTAGTTGTTTGAATAATCACATTTACGTAGTGGATATATTTTCGAATTATCTTTAAACGCCACACATTAGCACAGTTTCGCATAGTGGAGCTAAATTTTAATTAATATTTAGACTCTGTTTGCGTAAAGCTGATAGGATCATTTCTCTTTCTAACAAAGACAGCTAAAATTCTAATTTCCTTACTTCACGGATTTAATTATCGAGATAATAAAGTCTTAGACAAGCTATTCTATCCAATTTTCCGTTTAAAGACTTTGTATTACTCTTTGATAAAAACGGATTTTTTTATATTGGAAGGTAAATTTTCCTCTTGGATGAGCGCGGTTTCATATTTCAAAAAGACACTTTTAGGCTTTTATCGCTATCCTATTTGAATTAATGCTGCTTTAATTCTCGCCTGTTCCCTCATGTTTAATCCACATCGCAATCACGTTAAATTTCACAAAATCGCAGAATGTATAAATTACAAAATATTCAAACCTTATTGACTGACTAATGAGCGTTTCCCCGCAGCCGATAAATATTGATACAATCGAACCACCATAAAAATCTAAACGTCAACAAAAATATTTGCTTTGCTACTATATTCCTCCTTTTAATGAGCCATTACTTTACGCATTTTTGCTTTCCCAAAACATCCAATTTACAAATTACTAACCTCGTGTATATCGATGCCATGGTTGAGCGACCAGATAGTTTGAAAGTAATCTTGCATCCTTTGCTTAAGCTCCTTGGGAATTTGGTGCAGGGTAAAGAAGTCCTTCAGATCCCGCCACTTAGTTTGGTAAAGGGACCTCCTCGAGTACATCCTTTGAATGATGGCAGTTACGTTGCCAAAGACGACAGCGTGCATTAGGGCTGTTCAGATTCAGTGAAAATGATCAATTAACACAGTATAGAGAGTGTGCGTAATTACTAATTAACCATCGGTATTTATCATTATCTGCGCTTTTTTTAATAAGTATAAAAGCTATGTTTATAAGCGAAGTTTTATACGGATAATTAGTTTTCATAGATATTTCACGACAGGTTTTTGAAATTTTTTAAATGTTTAGATTTTAAATCTGCAAGAATTTTTACACAAAGCAAACTACAATTAAATATGAAATTGTAATAACATAGAAGTGACATTCGTAATAATTGCTTTCCAAAGAACTGAGATATTTCAACTCATAATTCAGATATTCATTAACTAAATATATGATAAATAAAATTAGTCAATGAGTTTTATTTTTCTTTTCTTAACTCTACTTTAAAGGAATCATTTGAAGGATTTTTTACACGAACGCTACACAGTTTGTCAACTGGCATACTTGAATCTCTTGGGCATAGTATATTTCTCGGCATAGTCCACATCCCACTGCGGCGGCACTATTTTGGCGTAGATCTTATGAATCTCTGTTAAGTACTGATTACGTGACTGTACGTTTCTCAAGCCAAGCTTGGCAAGCATTAAATCACGTGGTCTGAGTTTACGATATATTGTAACTTCGTTTAATCTTTAGTTTAGGATCCGACACGTCTTCTGGTAAATTAAATATCCCTACTACCCGGTTCGAAGTGTTACCTTACGATGCTTGCCGTCGACGAAATTATATCGTAAACGTGGTCTGCTTGATTTATCTATTATTTATCAAACACACAAACGTGCAAGGGTGCTTTTAGAGACCCTTAACGGGTTAAATCAGTTCTCATTGTAAAAGTTATATAACTTCTTTAAACGTTCAATGGGATTATCCGAATTTATAACACACACAATATAACTGCTTTTTTTGGTGACAGATAATAAAAGGGATTCTCTTCTCTTGTCCTTAAATTCTAAGAACTTGTACTGACGGTCTTAGTGATTCCATTAGTTTTTTAATGGATCAATCATTTGTTCAAGTCCCTACCTTCAGAATGGACAATAGCCCATAGATAACAGACAAGAGAGGCGATAGGTTCGATGTTACCAGATATAGACAGATCAGTCTTACTTCGATTATCGTGAAACTTATGGAATCCATCGTTTATGATCGAATTATAGGAAAATCAATTCAATGTAACCATTTTTCCTGCCTGTTTGATTGGATAACAAAAGTCGAAGCTGAAAATACAGTCGAAGTTCTTTATCTCGATTTTTCCAAGGCGTTTGATCGTGTCCCCAAATGTTGCTTATTACTATTACATAAACTCCAACATTTGGGTTTAAGAGGAAATCTCTTAAAATGGATTGATGCATTCCTTTCAAATAGAACGTTTAGGGTTAAAGTAGACGACGTTTTTAGTCAGCATTTTGAGGTGTAGAGCGGGGTTCCACAAGAATCAGTCTTAGGTCCGTTGTTACTTACAGCCTACACGACCGATCTAAATTATACACTACTCTAGCCTTTTGCAATGTACGCAGAGGATGTTAAACTGTATAATGTTAGCACTGAAAATACAACACTAACTTCAGCTTTTTAAAGTAGAGCTATGGTCCCGCTTAAACTTGATGAGTGTGCCGTACACTCTATCTAGGTAAAAAAATCCAAAATTACCATAATAAATAGGAAATCAAGAGATTTCCGTCTCTAATTGTTGTTGTTTGGGGCACCTACTTCAATAGTAATTGCCACATTATATAAACCCTTCATAAGATCAATTTTAGAAAATACAAACAGTATCTGGTCACCGGTCTTAAAACGCGATGTTCTACTGTTGGAGTTAGTCCAATGTAGAGCAGCAAAAATACTACTCCTATATGGTATTGGCATAATGAAGCTTCCAAGCTTAACAGAAAGACGTGTGAGAGGAGATATCATACGATCTTTCAAGCGCTGTCCAATGAATCGTCTCCAATTCGTCACATATTTCGTATAAACTCAGATACTCGTGCCAGAGGTCATTGCTTTAGGTTATTTAAAGAAAGATTCATTACCATTAGCAGCGGCCTCTGCCGATCGCAATAATTAATAGTAATAACAACAATAGTTAATAATAATAAAGAGGCTTTTTAGTGTTAGAACAATACCAGTAAAATGCATCTTTTTGCCGTTTGACAAAATAAATTCTCTATAAGTTCACTATACTTCTCTAATATTTTCTATCTGGATAATATCCTGTAAGTAGACTATTGATTTTAAATAATCTGTTCTTGGTTATGAAACATTAACGGCGGTTTCAGAAATGTGGAAGCCAGCTTTTTTTATTAAAGATCCACTTACCCGGGAAAATGGATAGAATATGCTGCGCAACAAGTCGGTCTCTAAACGGGAAAGACAATAATTGCAATTTTTATGTAGATAAATCGTAACTCAAAAGTGACTTCCTTGTTTTATGACTTAAATCCCCAAAGGATATCAGAAACTATGGGCATTATTGTGACTTTACAATGTATTTAAATACCGGCAAATGTTATTAATAATTAAATAATTATATCGAAAATCTAAATGCGACAATTTTCACTTACCACCAATCAGCATGACGCATATACTGAAGATTTTTTCGCTGGTGGTGTTGGCGCTGACGTTGCCGAAACCGACGCTGGTCAGACTCGAACAGGTGAAATAGAGGGCTGTGACGTAGGCGTCAGTTTTCGACACGTTAGCGACGTCAGGGAGCTTGAGGCGATCGGCGAGGGTGTGAATCCAACCTTCAAAAAAATGTAAAATAGTTACTTTATAAACTCTTTAGGAACTACAACAGTTATTTTGTTTTGAAAGGTGTCTTCGTGTTGTTATTTTTACAAAAGTTTCTACGCCTTTCACATTAAATAGAGTGAAATCTGATGACCGGCACGTTAATTTTTTTTTGGTTTATTGCCAAAACTGGGAAATAAATCATGGTGGATCTTCATTACTAGAACCAACCTGTTGTTTTCCCAGTTTCTAAAGGTAGTTTTAGTCTCTCATATCTCCATAACTTTTACTAAAGCCACGCATCATAACAATGCAAGTATGATGGTTCACAAAACATATTAACCTGAAATTTCTTGTAACAACCATTCTTGCGCTTAGATCGCTTTACGTATTATTCTGCTTTTCCGTTTTTCGCTGTTTTACTAAGCGTTCATTCAAACAAATCCATTTATACCCTTACCGAAGAAAATCACAGTTTATTTATTCAGTTCGAAAGCGGCGGAACCGCCACTCCTTAAGTAAAACTAAAATGATTAAAATACTAAGGCGTCTCGGTAAGTGCTAGAAATTTGTGAAGATTAGAACCGGAGGGAGGCTTCCTTCATTCTAAATTAGGTTTTCGTTGAAATTATACTCTGTATACGGATGCGAACGCTTTCGCAATTAGGTATTTTAAAAGCAAGATTGAATCACTTTGAATGCGTCTTATAGCAGTACAAACAACATTATTTTCTCCCTATCTCGCGAGCAAAGCAAACACAAATTTACAAAAATTGTGTTTTTTTGGGAAGAACACGTTAACCGAAGAAAGAGAGTTGTCGAGACCAGTGTGTCGAAGGAAGTTTGTGTCAGAACTAATATTGCTTTGGGTTTAATTTACATTTACTTAGATTTAATGTTTTCTGTTTACTGTTAACTTGTTTTGATGGAATTATCCCTTGGGCTGACCCAAATCTGTCCTCACTACGCATCGGAAGGATAATTCAACTGAGGTTTCAAATGACCATTCGGCGAATCGAAGCATTGACCTTTATTTTCTAAGTTGTAGAAACCTTTTCTGCGGGAAAGTTTTAACTTTAGGGCTGCGGAAGATTTTGCGCGAGGAGAATACTGGGCCGTATGAATAAAAAGAAGCAGTTGCTCGTGAGCATGAGTACGAAGTATGAGCACATGCTTAGAGTAAAAAGTACGAGTATGAGCACATACTTCAATCAGTATGAATAAACTAAACCTTTTACTTAAGAGCATTTGCTTCTTACTCTGGAGCAAACGCTCATATTCGTTATCTTCATAAAAACACCCATCGATAGCTTATTTCCTATAAGAACGACGACCATGAAGAGATTATTTAAAAAACCACAATTCGCTATCCATGATTTTCATTTAGTTCGGTTATAATCAGTGCATTGTACAGATGAGTTCGTCAAGTGGCTGTGAATCGCCGGGGTCCGGTGCTGGGAAAACTGCAAATTCCCAATTATTTATAGTCCGAGAAATCGAAAAACGACCTGAATTACTATCAAAATCTCAGTTACCAAATGAAAAAGCAAAAAAAGAAAAATCCTTACTGGAGGTTGTGGAATTGTATGAAGTCCACTTAGGGCTTCGCATCACCCAACAACAGTTGAAGAAAAAAATTAACAATATGAAATCGCGGCTCAAGAAGAAGACCGACAAACAGAAGACCGGAAACAAACGCATTACTTTGCATGAGTGGGAGAAGATCTTGTATAAGATACTTGAAGGAGATGATAATCCAACAATCAACAAAATTCCGGGTAGGTACCTATCGCATCTGTGTTTAATACACATAATATACCCTTTTACATAATAAACTCTATAATTCTATAAAATAACACTTTTTGTAGAACCTGCTGTAGCAGGTATGGCGAAAAGGGCACAACAATGTGAGCCCAAACACAGAGAGGAAAAGAACTGTGAAAAGAGTAGACGTTCTCCCGAGCCCAAGAAGTCAAAACTTTACAACTACGAGACTGAGGAAACACACAGTTTAACCACAACGGAACTACAAAGACTTGTGTTGTTGGAGCAACTAAAAACCGCAAGGATGCAAAGAGAGTATATTTTGAAGAAAATGGAACGACTGGAATAAACTGACAGTGATAATATGTGTATTATACCAAATAAACGATATTTAACAATGCATATTCAACTCTTTTTGTTTGTTTTAATTAAGAAACGTCTTCTAATAAAGGTGACGTCTTGGGCGTTGCAAGTCGCTTGTACATTGATACTGGGCCATCCTTTTCTATTGATATATTCATCCCCATGACGACCTGGTTTTTCAATTCTAATATGGGTACAATCAATGACCCCAATGACCCCCGGAAAGTGATTGACATTTTGCCAGTCTTCTAAAGCCTGCAAAATATTTTGTTTAGTGTGAGGAAATTTGATCCATGATGAAACTTTTGCTGTGACCCTTGTTGTGACAAATGTAACTACTTTTGATACTGTCGACTGACGAACGCCTAACTCTTCTGCTATTCCTGACTGAAAACCGGAATTGGCCAAACACCTCAAAAAAATTTTCATTTTCATTTTTGGCGACAAAACACCTTCCCTGGTTTCAGTACAATCATTTAAAAAGTAATCTGCTAACCAAGTAACATTTTCTGCAGAAAATCTGCAATACCTGCTATTAATCGTAATATACTTATAATGACAAATGTTCTACGCTTACCTGTACAAGGTTTTATAGTCACCTATGTTGGTTTCCCTACGCTCCTTATAATGTTTAGTTTTTCGTAGAACAACCATGTCTGCCATTTTCCGAAATACTGTTCCATCCAACAGAAGTTGCGTCTCCTTTATAGCAGACGCATCAATTTGTGAGCAAGTGCTCCATAATGTAAGTAAACGCTCTCTTTTATTCATATCATTTGCTCAAGTGTAAGCAGATACTTCAAATTTAGAGCACTTGCTCAAGCTCCAACACCAAAGTATGAGCAAAACCGTTTGCTCACTGTTTTATTCATATATAGCGAAGGATATGCTCCAAAAACAACGAGTACGAGCAAATGCTCACTTTTAATCATACGGCCCATTAAAATCTAGAGTACTGAATACTCGCATTAAAAATGAAAGTGGATATTCGCTACCGAATTTTATGGTTTTAGTTAGCGTAATGTGTTTGAGATCAAAAACTTTATTTTTATTATATTGAACACGTATTTCGTACACGAAAAATTATTACAGTAGGCTACGTAATATTTTATCGACTAAATTATTATTAAACAAATTAATGTTAAACTGTAACCGAAACCAACTACGAATTAGAAAACTGGTAACATCGTTTGTAATGTTATTTTAGTTTTTACAACGGCTTATAAGAGATGTTTAAAAATAATAAATAATAAAAAATCGATTCATGTTTACAGTTTTTTCTTTTATAAGCAGCCTGTGTAATTTTTTTCTACTAATTCAAATCCGATCCGTTTAATAGCCGTGAAATAAATAAAATATATTGAAACTAAAGCACTTATCGTTACGAGAAATTACTAAAGTATTTATTGGAGAATACGCTGTAACATGCATGTAGATTTAATTGGGTAATAATCAAAATTACATTAAATTCGAACCGTTTAACTTCCAAGCGTTAGCTGATTTATTTAATAAAACTACAATTGCTAAAAAGTGGTTTTAAAATAAATAATTCACTGTACAAATTTTATTTTAATGGTTATCTAAACGTAAATGTAAATTTAAATAAATAATAAACATACTCAAATTGAAATGTCGCAACAGATGTGATATAAACGATTTTCTATTTTATTAGTCCAGTTATCGGAGGCATTTAAATTTTAAATTTGATTTTTGCATTTCCGATAGAAAAAGCCAAAGCTTTGATTTTTTATTTTAAAAATTGAATATTTCATAACTCGGCAGACGATTTTTTTTCTTTTAAATTTTTTCGAATTTAGATCCCTATTAGTTTTCTAGCAACTTTTATTTGTTTAACTTTGACTTTGTGTTTTACTGTACAACTACATATATCTGAGCATAAATGTGAATTTATATTTTCTGTTATTGCAAATATTGAGGTATATCTATACCAGAAGATAAGACGTTTTTGTAATTGGTTTTTCTTAAATTTTTTACTTAATAGTCTGAATATACAGGATTCCTGACAAGAACTGCACGAATTTCAACTCTATTTTGCCAATTTTAGCTTATTCTACGCATTTTATTCATAATTCAAAAGTAAAAAAATACAGTAACTTGTCTTAAGTACAAGTTTGCTTAATAAGTATGCTATTTCCTGTTTTTCATGTGCATTATGTGTAAGCTACTACGTGAGTTCTCACCTTCAGTGTACTCTTGGCACTGCGATCTTATTTCTTGTACAGCTTTATACCTGTTTTTAACTTTAATTAAAATTATAAATTAAATTTAACGATCTACTGGATCTGCCTGTACAAAGTAAATTTTTAAGAATAATTTGGTGCAGCTGCGTAAATAAATATCACAAAGATCAAGGGATCAATATTTTCAACGGTCGTGTGATTTTACATTTGTTGCAAATAATAATAATAATAAATCAAACGATAGAACTTTTATGGCATCATCAGTTTAGTCACTTGCAAGGTTTCTAATAGCGTTTTCTCGTCTGAAAACCGCGAACATGAATGACCGCAATCAACAAGTTTGTTTTATAGTCACGAGTTTCCAACTTAATTAATTTCCCTTTGAGCCTAAACAAGTGGAAAAGTTGTGATGAATTATAAAAAATGCGATGAAAAGAAGGAAAACGAACAATGAAAACTCGTCTGAAACTCATACAGCCGAAACATTATCTAACTTACCTAATTCAGTTTCAAGTTCTTTCTCTGCTATCACATACCATATACACGCTAGCCAATGGGCTACCAAAGTGAACGACAGCATCAGTAGAGTCAGGATCATGGCACTGTATTGAGAGTAACGGTCCATCTTCTGTAGAAGTCTTGCCAAGCGAAGTAATCGCGTTAATTTTATAAGGTGAGGCTGGAATGGACTGGATTTCTGAAAGCGAACAGACATTTCCTATTTAGCAGGTGTTTTTTCAACTGGAAATCATTTCATCAGGACCGTCAACACGGCTCTCGAGAGACAATAAGGCTTTTTATGAGGATCTCCAATGACGGAAGGATTAAATTAAAAGCAAACAAGTCTGTACAAATTACCTCTTCACCGTAGAGTGCATAAAGTAAATCGAATGGCAGTGCTGCAAGCATGTCGACGATGAACCAAGTCCTCAAGTAGTTGAGTGATATTGCTCTCCAGTTGGACACTACCTCGCCTTTCCTATTGACGTATGTTGTTCGAAAATTTAAAAAAATATCTGAAACAGAAATAGTTACCTTTAATTATTCTCGCAAACCACAATCACCACAGACTTGTCAACTTTGAATTTTGGTAATATTTGATGAACGGGGGAAGTTTCGAGGAAATAGGAGACGCGCCTTAACGGAGTGCTTAAGCAAGCGGAAGAAAAAGTGTGAGAGTGTGAGGGAATGGCTAATTGCCGAGGGCCGAGACTTTTCGTGCAGACTAATAGCGTATGACTTGTTGGTGGGCTTTGTGCGGCGGTTTCAGCTTATGAATAATCTTTTGTACGAAAAAGTGAACGGTTAGAGAAAAATTACAGCGAGCGAAAGTAGAATTTTCTGGGTCAGCGAGTAAACTTTCTTTTATAGATGTTTGGCGGAGCAAAGTTGAACAGAGGGTTGGTATCGGCAAAAAAGGACAACTTGACAAAACAACAGTAAAAATTAGAAGGAAGTTACTGTTCGCTTGAAGGAAAGAAAATTCAGGTTCTGGGGAATAAATATCTATTATTTACAGAATAAGTTAACATGAAGCGCAAAGAAAGTGTACAAAATTGAAATTAAGTTAGTTCGGACCGTCACAAATATAACAAATATAACAGCACAGAAGATGAAAAATAAAGTGTTATTATAAATTTAGATTTCTCTTGTACTGTCCCAAAATCGTTGTTGTAAAAATTATATAAACTTATACAGGGTGCCGCATCCAAGTCTGGATATAGGGAATTAACATGGCAATTGGTTTTTATTTTATAATATCTCCCCAGATCACTTTAAAGCTATTATTGAGTGATGCCTTTGTGGGGGTCGAAGAGGGCTATCGGCCAGTATTTTTTTCAAATCGTTGCATCGTGCTCATACACTGTAAAAAGGTTTTAAAAATCGTATTTTGAAATTCGCGCCCGATCCGAATTGTCGCGAAGTGTTCCATCGTACTGTCGAAGTTCGGCGATCGCGTCTTTCCAATAACCATGCAAAATCCAAATGTCAAAACGAAATTAGAAATTATTCTCATCAGAAATCAACGAACAAGTCAAACTGAATTATTTTATCCAGTGTGATGATTTATTGCAGGTCAATTTAAACGGAATAAATGCACAAACTGCACAAAATATTTTATTAGGTTATGCTATGTTCTACTGCGATTAGATGAAAAAGCGGGGGCCGGCATGTTCTTCAACGGTTAATTTAATTAGTAGGTAATTTGGATAAATTTCACCCTTTTTTTTGGAATCACTAAAGATTGGAAGTCAATTGATTTTACATTCGTTAAGCAAGGATGGAATTTTGCCACCTGGAAGCATGTTCGTTACAAGGAATTTTTGAGAGAGAAATGTAGAACATTGATTCATCAACATTTTAAAGTATTTTTCTCTATTACGAATGTGTTTTGGGATTCAGAAACTTTTGTATTACTGTTTCATTTGTTTATTGTGTTAACAACAACAAAAATAAAAATAATATTTCGCAAAATAAAGTTACATTTATTTTCAAAGGTGATAAAAATTACATAAAATCAGGTGGGCACGACGTTTTCTAGGGATCTTAAACAGATGAGATAGAAGAATTTCAAAAAGCATCATGACAAAAAATTGAAGCCTGAGGACCACTTCTCACATATAGAGTTTTACGAAGGAACGCTTGAGAGAATCTAGGCTGATGGAGAGTTTTTGAGGAACATTTGTTTTACTGACGTTCATTTGGTCTTAAGGGAAGTTATAATCGTCAGAACGATCAAATTTGAGCATTACACAACCCTCACGTGGTCCATGACCTTCGTTATCAATGGCGTGCAATTGTCAGTGTATGACTGGGGTTTCTAGGACATCATGTCATTGCATCTTTTTTCATCGAATCCGGATTGAATGCTCAGAAGTAGGATAATATGCTAGCTCAGCAAATACTTCCTGGGACTCGAAGGGTGCGGCATCTGCAGCAGGTCTTTTACATCCAAGACCAAATCTCCAGCCATACAGCTCGCATAAATGTTGTTTATTTGAACCAGTATTTTTCCTCAATATTGGAATGGAAAGTTTGCACCGCCCCATTGGTCTGTGCAATCGCCAGATCTAAACCCCTGAGAAATTTTTTCTTTGGAGATTTCTTCACGACCATCTGCATTCAGACAAGCTATACAAACAGAGAAGCGCTGAAACAAGCAATCCAGCAATATTGTCTTTAGATTTCAACTAAAATGCTGATCAACACGCGTAGGAGTTTTGAAGATCGGCTTACTTACTTGTATAGCTGCTGAGAGCAGTGTTTTTGAGCAATTCTTGAAAATAGTGCAATACTTCTCCAGATTCGTACAATATTTCATTACTTAATTCATCAACAATTGTTACGTTTTGTTATTTGTAGTTATCTAAATGGGTCATTAAAAGGTCCTCTTCAAAAGCGCCAGCTGTTATGATGGTAAATCTTATCATCACACAATAAGAAAAGCGGGCCCTCGATTTTTCATCTAATCGCAGTAGAACATGGCATTTTAATGAGATTTTAGTAATAAAGACTCGACCAGCACCAGCAACATAACCTAATAAAATATTTTGTGCGGTTTGTGCATTTATTCCGTTTAAATTGACCTACAATAATCGTCATATTAGATAAAATAATTCCATTTGAGTCGTTCAGTGATTACTGAGTGAGGCAGCGCGAGTACATTCCTAGCTTGATGGCTCCCAGAAAATGTCACAATACTGCCGATGGGCTTTGATGGGGTTTTGAGGAAGACCAGCTGCTCGAAGTCTTCACCTCGGGCTTTTTGGATACGGTCTGAGTGTAGTTCGAAATGGCTCGTTTGACGGGGTCGCGCACTATGACGAATGAATGGATCAATTTGTGCATTTATTCCGTTTAATTTGTCCTACAATAATCATCACACTGGATAAAATAATTCAGTTTGAGTTGTTCGTTGATTTCTGATGAGAATAATTTCTAATTTCGCTTTGACATTTGGATTTTGCATGGTTATTGGAAAGACGCGATCGCCGAACTTCGACAGTACGACGGAACATTTCGCGACAAATCGGATCGGGCGCGAATTTCAAAATACGATTTTTAAAACCTTTTTACAGTGTATGAGCGCGATGCAACGATTTGAAAAAAATACTGGCCGATAGCCCTCTTCGACCCCCACAAAGGCATCACTCAATAATAGCTTCAAAGTGATCTGGGGAGATATTATAAAATAAAAACCAATTCGCATGTTAATTCCCTATATCCAGACTTGGATGCGGCACCCTGTATAATACCTTCAATGATTAATGGCGTGTGACAAAATTTTGCTTTCAAACTTAGTTCATGCCAGATATTTTGCTATGGTAAATTTGAATTCGAAAATGAGCGCAAAAAATACAACAGATAAAAATAAAAAATTGGAATTCTTCTCGTTATTAAAGTTTAGATTTTACTAAAAGATTAAGCAGATAATTTTATTAAGTTCCTTGTCTATGTGTACGTACATAAATTATAAACTTAACATAATATTATCTTCACTTTGAAAATCAGTCAGTTGTTCTGGAACTAATACTAAATTTCGACATTATGCGTAAACTCACACGTTTCGTCGCTATTGTTCGAAAGATGGTAGTTATTTGATTGAACAAGTGATTATCATACACAAAACAAACTTATGTTCCAACATTTTGACTATAAAAATTAAACAAAATGTAAGCAATTCATGCGAAATAAATTAACAGTGAAATATGTATATTTTTTGTATGTATAAATTATTATCGATATGTATTTCGAAAAAATCGTCAAATTATTTTCTGATTCAACACAAACAACATGCAGGTTTTTAAGTGGTCCAAATACAAGCATTTAATCACTAAAACTTCCAACATTTTCATAAATAATGAACATCCGTTAATTTTTTTTTGTTTAATCCCCACTAATGCCTTTTTCATGATCCGGATTATGAGTACACGCATACAAAATCAATAATATCTTCTCTTCTATGAGCGGTCTTTCACATGTTTTATTCTGTTTCGCACGAAGCGTTAACTTATTAATGTTATAAATTATGCATGAAGTGTTCGTAATCAAAAGATAACACCTTAGATCCTTATTACCCGACGGCGTGGCGCTACGCAAACCCCATCCAATCGTTCGCGATATAAAAAATTAATGCGTGTCCATATTCGCACTCTACCTTCCCTTTTGTTTTAATTTTATTCCCATTCAATCTAAGCTAAATTGTTTGCATTAACAAACTTCCCTTCTCGGCTCCAACAAAATTGCTTTTTTAAATGTTAATGAGTGCCCGGCGCATCCACCATTTTTCCTCGTCGGGGCACCAAATCGCTCTTCACGTGACAAATTCGATATAAAATTGAATTTCTTCGTTACAATTGAACACAATATGGTTTTAGCTCGGATATAAATTGCAGGAATTGGATACAAGATTTTTCTGTTCGTGTCAATTTCAGTTTGGTTTTCCTGCGTTCAAATCCGGAATTATTACGTTTGAGGAAAAACTTCCATCATATTAAAAATCCCAACATAAACCCTTTCTGTACTAACCCTCCGTTATTCATGAGGGTATTGTTTGCTTAGCCTTTTGAAGGTATCCCCCCCTCCCCCGATATAAATTCATGAACAAAAAAAATACTAGGGCAAATATTTGTCCGACAAACAATCACGTTGCTCTTAGTCTGATTATAAAGATTTTCCCAGAAGGGTCTTCTGCCTGGAAACGTGTGGATCCAATGAGGTTGATGGATTATAATGTTCGGAGCGACAGCCGATAATCGACGTCTTCATTAAGACGACTTCTTTTTGTCTTGTTTCAGACGACTGTGTCTAATATGGTAATTTGTCCTTTTATTTATTTCAACCACAGAGAAAATTCTCCTGAATCAAAAATGTCTTTATTTCCGATGGAAATTAAAGTGAGAAGGACTCCATTATTTTAAACGACAAAATCTGTAGTTGTTTTTTAATTTTTTGAATGAGAATTAATTTATTGATTAAAAATATTCTACATTTATAAATAATTCAAATATCCTGCTTTAATTTTCTTTTGATATTCATTTAATTATTTGATAATATGTCTTAACCATCTACCTAGAGTACGAAAAATAGATCTTCCGTTTCCGTCTATCTGTCTGTCTGCCGTCTAACCATAGGATGATGTTATAATATTATTTAACTTTTATAAAATAAGATACTACTTCTGGTTTATAAATCCGTGTTCAGTTTTTACCCTAGATATCCAGATTAATGGGGAAAAAATCAAAATTATATGACATTTGGGAATTTAACTGTGAAATTGCAAAACTGAATGCTCTGAAATCTTGCAAACGTTCTGGGAGCCCCAAATGTCTTTTTTTTAATAAGATGAAACCTTCTTTTTTCTGTTAGACTGTGACTAGTACTTTCTATAGTGTTTTCACTCCATAGAGTTTATCACAAAAAATAAAACTGCCCAAAATCAAATTTTATAATTTTTCAAACAAGCAGGATTTGTTGGGCTGTACTTCAGGGGCGAGGGAAGGTTTGTCCAAACTTTCGACCAATTTAGTAGAAAGGTAGTGTTTGTGAATGGAACAGTTTGACGAATTCTTGAGTAATTTAAAAAATGTGTTGTGTATAATAATTGACAATTAAAGATATAAATACAAAATGAATTTTGCAAAATTAACCCGACAAAGACTAAATACGGCTAATTGATAATTGTTAATTGTGAATTTTTTAGAATTTTGGTCTCTTTGTTGTACACTTACTGATGCGGTTTATTGGTTAACCTCAGTCAACATTTAAATTTATTTATTCTTCTCTTGCTTAAAGTTGATGGCGCCATTTCATAAAATTATTAAATGAATTTTTCTTGCTTTAATAGAATGTCGACCAGGGTTGTACATCGCAAATAAACGGTTGCAATGCTGTGATCATATCAGCTAAGCCATAAGAATCTACTTAGTTTTTCTTTGAGAAGGTACACATTGTTGCTCTCCACTGTTCCAATTCCTACGCTTCATTTTATAGAAGTTTTGCAGATTTTATTATGATAGTAAATGAAATGTAAGCAGTAAATATCGCATACTCCACGATGAAGACATTTTATAATTTTTTTTTTAAATTTCGTGAATGTTTCGAGTTTGGTGATCCCCTCGACCCAAAAATTCAATTTCTCAAGTTTTATACTTCCTACTAGTCGCCTTACAACGATCACATTATAACCCGACATGAAACACTACAAAACAATCGGGCGCCGAATTTAAACCCAAAACAAATCCACAACCCATAAATTTTTAAGATGTTCAACTTTCAAACAAACAAAGCCACTCGAAATCGCTGACGAAATTAGCATATTTGTTTGATTTGGCAGAATTTTCCACCTAATTGCCTATGTTATGCAATATCGATTGAACTGGGCTACAAGACCAACACGTTGCGGTTACATGTACAGGTTCAATAGGTTATTATTAACTGGAAGGCAGGTCGTATCGTTTTGTCGCACCTGCTGTATACACAAAGACATGGCACGGCGACGTGTCGACGTTAATCGAGTTGTGTCGTGTTTGGGTTGTACGTTCAAACATTGGGTGTTATTTTAGGGCGGTGCTGTACAATGAATACGGATCAAAGGGTTTGATTTTTATGATTTGTCGGTTCAGGGTTTCTTGAGTAGGTTGAGGTTAATGTAATTTAGCTTTGGAGATAAATCGCCGTTGCGAGGGCTTGTCCACAACGAGGAAATCCAGGGCTTATCATCCACATTCGTTGAATTTCGGAGGTAAATACCTGTTACCTGTTGGTTTATTTCTGTCGTGCGTACGACAGGGAGAGTTAACAAATCTTGTTTGAGTTAAACAGTAGCGAAACGAACTGTTCTATGGGATAAAGAACGGGTGGTTTTACTGCGGTGTGATCGCCAAGAGCTACACATAAATTCTAAAGGATAATTGCTAATTAATAATTAATTTAAAGAAAAAGAAAGTCGGCACTTCGGCAGTGTTGATACGGATTTTTATTCTATAAATTTTTTATTCTCTAAATAAGTTCCGCTGACTCCTTTGAGGAAAGTATTTTTCTAAGAAGGATCTTATTGTAACAAAAACGGTTTCCGGAAAAGAGACGTATGTTCTTTTCGCCTTTTTCTTACGTATCTATGTTCCTGAGATTTTTTTTCCTCATTTTTCCTTTAAATGAAACTCTCTATTTTACAGTACTCCATTTGATACTTTTACAATATAGTGCGGATTTTGTAACTTCAGCTCAAAGGTCAAAGTTAACATACACTATTTTTCAACGAAAGTTATTAACAGAAAATTAATAACTGAAAACACGTATGTTTAAACCAAATTAAAAAATGTATTATATTTTTATTTTTATTCTTGTTACTATTAGATATTATTTGGTGCAAGAGAGTTTGTAGAAGAGAACTAGATTTAAAAAAACTAATTCAGAAATGATCTAGCAATTGTTTCTCGCAGAAACGATTTTCGTCTATTTAAAACAAATTTTCCACGAGGTATTTTGTATAGCACTTTACCACTATTATTAAAAAGAAATAATGTAAACATTGTGATATGAATGCAAAACATTGGGAAATTGTTACAAATTATGAGTAGGAAAAATAAAAACTCGAATGTGAAAAAATCACTACAAGGTAAATATAGAATAAAATTGAAAAAATAATACATCATGGCTGCAACTGTTTTATTTAGAGAGAAATTTAAGAATAAATTAAAGTATAATGTAACAGAAACAATATCAACAAAATCTGCGTACATCCATACCCAAATGTCGTTAAATCTACTGGGCTAACTTGTTTAAAAAAATTTAAAAGGAACGTTGTAATTGAAAAATAGCAGAATAAATTCGTGTTTCGGCATTGTATATTTATTTCCGTTTTCTACCTTTCATTTTAAATATGTCATATTATAATTTTAAAAATGCTTCACATTTTCAATTTTACGATTTTAAAATTTTTTTAGTTTTCAATTATTGGATTTTAAAATTTTTTTATTTATTCGATTTTTCATTTTTCAATTTCTCGACATTTAAATTTGCAATTTTTCTATCTTTCAATGTTACAGTTTTTCAATTTTACAATTTTGACGATTCTGTAACTTTTCCATTTATCAATTTTTGGGTTTTCCAATTTTTCGATATAATTCGTTTTTTCTTCTTTCCAATTTTTCATTCATTAATTTTTTTCGATTTTTAAGCTTCTCGATTTTTAGTTTTTCAGTTCTTCGATTTGCAATTTTTCGATTTTCCACTTTTTCGATTTTGGAATTTCTCGTTTTTTCAGTTTTTCAACTTTTAGATTTTTTCCGATTTTTCTGTTTTTCCATTTTTGAACTTTTCGAATCAGTAAAATGAAAAAAATGCAGAATTGAAAAATCAAAAATGAAATTACGAAAAAGTAAAAATGAAAACTTCGAAAAATCTAAAATTTGGAAATCAAAAACTTGAAAAATTGGAGAAACGAAAAATATGAAAAATTGTAAATTTAAAGAAATCGGAAAATCAGAAATCCAAAAATTGCGAAATTAAAAAACTAAAAAATTGGAAAATCGAGAAATAAAAAAATCACAGATTGAAAATTTGAGAAATTGAATAAACGAAAAATTATAGAATCGAAAGAAACATTGATCAATAAGAGACATTAAAATTGTGATATAAAATCGAGAAAAATAAAATTAAATAGTCTGGAAAATGAAAAATAAAGATCAACAACTTGACAAGTCGAGGAAATGAAAATTTGAAAAATTAAATATTAGGAAATTGAAAAATCGGAAAATGGAAAATTGCAATACCGGGTGTATGGAAAATGGCGGATCAACTCACCGCTACGCTCTTAACAAACAACTGGCGAGTCTGGGAAAGATAGTAAAAGAAATCCTTCTCACATATTAGTGGAGTTATAATGATTTTAAATTTGTTTCTTTTACTACGTTTAACCACTCATTCATTATCACAATAACTAGTAATAAAACTAGTAGTTAATATTTTTCTCGCCCATGACCATGTTTAATTACCATTTCAGTTAGAATGCACAAAGATATGACTGTGTTGTTTTTGTAATAATTTGATAAAATTCCATTTGACAACAATGTTTGCCTGATATAAAACGAATGTGGATGTCAGTCAGCATCGTTATTAAGAAATCAGAAAGTAAGCCGCAGGTATTCATGCATGAGGTGTGTGCAGTGCTGCCAATTTTACTTTTATAAAATTACGTTTTTTTCTTAATCTACATCATAAAGAATTTTTTTATTATTGTTTTGGGACTCCCGAAACCCCGTATATAACGTACTGAAGAGTTAATCCCCCATTTTCCAGACACCCGGTATAGGAAAATTTCAAAATTGAAAAATTGTAAATCGAAAAATTGAAGAATGAAAAATTGAAAAATTTGGAAGACGAGAAATTGAAAAATTGAAAAAATAAAGAAAACGAAAAACGAAAAATTGTGATATCAAAAAATTGGTTGAAGGCAAATAAATTAAAGTTTTTCTAATGATTATAAGATTTATTTTGCGAATTTTACATTTTTATGATAACCCTTATAAATTAAAATTTTTGATCACTTACTTAGTATTTACTTATCGATGTAAAGTTTTTTCCGGTGACGTCATCATATTGTTGGTGAGAATGTTTATAGAAATTTTGATTAGCGTTTTATCAACTGTAGGATTTTGCTAATATACAGGGTGAGTATTATAATAACGGGACCGTGACTAATTTTCAATGCAACACAACGTAGGTACTCTCCTTACTAGTTGTCACTTTTTCTGAAAGACGTCAATCAAAATTTCACAAATGAAATATTTAAAAAACACCAACATATTAATTCAAAGAAATGTAATAAATAAATTGAACAAGTAAATAAATTTAACTAGCGTAAGTACTGTTCAAAATGCCTTCCTTCTTGCTCAACACACATTTCGATGCGATTTAAGCAAGACAATCGAACGCGGTGTTTCAGAAGTTATTGCAGTACCTACATGAATTTCTAGTTCTGGTTTATAAATCTTCACAATTACGAATAGGACTTTGGTAAACTTGTTCTTTTACAACCCCCAGAGGAAGAAATCTAAAGGTGTTAAGTCGGGACTACGAGGGAGCCATGCATTGACACTGCCTCTGCCAATCCACTTATTTGCAAACGTCTCATCAAGATAGTTCCCAACGATTCTGTGATAATGAGGTGGTGCTCCGTACTGTTGAAACAACAGCTCTTATCGAAGGTTGAGAGGAACATTTCTAATAACCCGGAAAATCATTTTCCAAAAATTGTCGATACCTGTGTCCTGTGAAGTTACCTTCGAAGAAGTATGGGCCAATTACGTAATTTGCAATAATACCAGCCCACACATTTATGGAATAAATATTTTGAAAATGAGCTGTTCTGATCCAGTGTGGGTTATTTTGGGAGTAATAGTGACAGTTGTGCCGATTTTAACAACCCCATTATTGCTAAATCTTGCTTCATCGCTGAACAAAACTTTGAATAAAAAATTGTTGTGCAACTCTAGTTGATGTTGCATAAAATTGCAAAATTGTATTCTTCTGGGAAAGTCTTCTTCTTTCAGACCTTGTACTAATGTCACATGGTTAGTTTGGAACTTTTCGCTTTCAAAATTTTTGAAACGGAAGATTAGATATTCCTACCTGTCGTGCTATAAATCTTTGGCTCACATACGGGTCATTGTCTACGGCTTCAATTACAATTTCATTTTCGACACCAGTAGCGGTAAGTGCTCTATTTCTTTTTCCTTTGGGCCAATTTTCTCTTAACGTTTTTTCTAAACATCTAAAGATCTGGTCGGATGGATGTGGCCTATTGGGATACAATTGTAGGTAAGCAGAGAAAAATGTTGTGCCTCGATGGCACCACGCCTCTCGCTCTCCGGCCAAGTATCCTAACCACTGGACCACGAGGCCACTTATCTCTCTGCTTACCGACGTGTTATTGTGCCGGCACACCTTCTTTCGTAGAGATTTGCTGCTGCAGCGGCATTTTTCCGCATTCTCCAAAAATCAAGATCATATCAACCTCTTCATCGTTCGTGTATTTAACCCTCATCTTATCGCGAAGACTAAAAATTTATCGGAGCTCAAAATTGACAAATAGAATTATTGCGAAAGTTAAAATTAACTACTAGGTAACTATGTTTGTACATTTTAGAAAAATAATATCTAAAAAGAATTACCTACATATGAGATATGTGTTGCACTGAAATTTGGTCAGGGTCCCGTTATTATAATACTCACCCTGTACATAAAAAATTTACAACAATCGGTCCATTAGTTTCGGAGATTGTCTGTCTAATAAAAATTCGGACAGACGGCAGGTAGACAGACAGACAGATAGACAAGCAGCTTACGCTCAGGAAGTAAAAATATAATTTCATCACGTTTTGGAATTTCAAAAGTATTATAAACTTGAAACACCAAACGTGAAAAAAAACAAAGATGTTGATATTACGGTTATTGGTTTGTTTTAGGAACTCGAGTGATTGAAACTAAAATTTCACGAATTATAATTTTGCAAGAATTTCAAAAAAGAGGAATTATTTTAGAGTTTGAAAAACATACCTTTTTTTTAAGTGTGTCTTCAAAACACTGATACAAAATTTACATCACTTTACATAAAAAATTAAAATAAGAAATAAAACACTAAATAAATATATTTCCAATAAATTACATACGACGTAATGTTTTGTGACCATATTTAATATGTAGTCGTAATCCAAAACTAACACTCAAATAAATCCATTTAATTTTTTTTCATGGTTGATCAACATTTCATAATTTACATTGTTCCTCACGAAAAAGTTTTCTGCCAGGCAAATTTTCAAAACAGATTCATTTAGCCTTTATTGGATAATTTTTTTTCTAAATCGGGATTCAAACTCTCGGGGGGTCAATTACAGCTGATACAGGTCATTAAAAGTATTATTTTAATGAGTCTTAATTTTAATTATGACCAGTAACGCCACTAATTTGATTATGTTGTGGTTATTAGCGAAGTAAAAGTAACGTGAAAAGAACCCTTAAAATATGTCAGTTTGTTACGTATTTCTAACCCATTTTCACGTTCATTCACCTTACATTCGAAATCATCCATCCAACTCACGCCTCCTACGTGTGTAATTCGCATCTCTTACCTATAAAGAACAGCGCTTCAACAAGGACATCCATGATGACGGATGGCCTCTCTGAATTCAAGAAGCTGGCATTATAGGGAACGACGACGGCGACATAAAACGTAGCCATCAATATAAGCCAGTCCCATCCGCTCTTGAACATCCCGTAATGAGATATAATGAACCTACTTTTTTTTATTGCGGAAGTTTTGTATTCAGGTAAAGGCGCTGGTGTTGAGCTTAACAAGTTCTGAAAGGAAAAGCAATTACATCGAAATGTTTAACGACACGCAACGCGAGCTTTTACATTGTTCAGTTTGAGTTTGGTCTTCATCTTGTCTGGTTTGTAGTGACCGGAAAGTTGGTAGAGCACCGCTCGCGAACGTCTTCTGCCGTAGTTCGCTGGAGGTGCCTCCGGGTCGAGGTTGCCGTTGGCGTCTGCAAGGAGGCAAGAGTCAGCACCTCGGAAGCGAGCTCCAAGAACGGCCGCTGTACACAGACGTCAGTTTATTGTGAAGAAAGTAAACAAAATTAACATAATAAATAAGAGATTTAGTTTAGGAGACTCTGGGGAGTTAGTGTCTAAAATGTAGAGTCTAGCCGGTTTGTGTTTTATTTTTAGTGCCTTTAACAAAAGAACTCGGTGTAAAATTTTCCTATCCCTTTCAGATAATGAAAAGGATAGAACATAGAAACAAGTTATTTTCAATTGAGTACATGTCAAATTGTCGACAGTTTTAATTAAATTAGGAGGCAATTTGATTGGCACGAGCCGATATTTTCCTAACAAAATTGTAAATTTATCGTTCTGTTTCAATAAAATTAAAAGAATAATGTAATTTATACAAAAAATATGTATCTATGCAAAAAATTGATCGAAAGTTATTGAATGGAAAATCCATTGCCCCTGAAGTACAGTCAAATAAATCCCTCTGCTGCTAAGATGATTTCATCCGTTCGTGAGGGCAGTGCGCCCAGTTGGTAATGCATCCTATTGTTGGTGGGGATGTTTATCCAAATTTTGGTTAGTGTTTTGCTATCTACACGATATTCCTAATACACCTAGAAAATTTGACAATAATCGATCCAGTAGTTTTGGAAGTTAACTCAGTACAGACGGCAGACAGACAGATAGACGTACGAAAAGAGGACCTATTTTTTCGTTTTCTGAGGCTAAGCAATACTTTTATATTAATGGAAGCATTATTTCTAAAAATAAAAACAACTTGGCTAGACTGTACACTGTATTTGTACGGTGTCTAAGAACATATAATAAGTAACACATTGTGATCATGACATCAAGCAGTGAACTTCACATCCATTCTTTGTTTAAATTTCAAATTAAAAAAAACTGGAAATTAAAATAACAAAACGATGAGTACGCAGGTTTAAGCGTTTAACTGTAGGGTGTGTGTGGAGATTAAAACTTTGTGTTGAATTAGCTAAAAAAACATCCAACAAAAGGATAATTTCCTGCAACCAACCCTAGATTAATCTGCATCCATTCGAATACCGTTTTAGAGTTGCATTTGGCAAACTGCAGTGCGATAATTTAACCGGTTTATTTTTTAAATCTAAACAAGATAACAACCATAAAAGCAAACTCAAACCGGTGCGGTGTTGTGTAATTTTGCTGCTCAAGCTAAAACAAAGAATCTTAGCACCTCGGTGAGACACGCAAACAGAGATAAGCAGATTTATTTCAAGAAGTAATTTAAATCAAACGTTATAAATTTCCATGCGACAAAAAAAAATCGTTTAAGTCAAAATTTGCATTGCCTGGTTTTATCACGGGAGTTTTCCTGAAATAGCTAATTCATCTATTGCTCTGACCCAGGTAATCTTGTTATCACAGTAAAATAACAGGTATAAACCTTTTTAATTAAGAAATTAGAACCACGTCACCCGCTTCGGGTTGTATTCTGAATAAAACGTTGGCAGAGACCGCAGAGGACGAGATAGTCATGAACAACAGAATTAGTTTGATTTGATCAACGAAAAAGCTGGACCTTCAAAAGAACTGAGCTTGCAGCTTTCCTTTGACACACACATTATTGTGAGCGTTGTGTAACGATTTAAAATGTTGTGTTTAAAAACTGATTTTTATGTGTCCTACTTTTTTTCCTTGTTGAAAAATTATTTGCGTTTTAATTTGATTAATTTTCAATCCCTGTTCTCGTTTTTAGCAAAAGCAAAAAAACATGTTGACTACACATTTCCCAAATCGTAATTATAACATTAAGCGCTTTAATTATAATCTTTCCGCTTCGATTCCTTTGATTGCTTTATTCTGTTATTGTTGCGTAAAGAAGATAAAAGCTTGAGCTCGCTATATAAATCGCAAAAATTCCCAGCACGGCCCGTATTTTTAGAAAGGATTCTCGATTTTAGTTTACTTCTTGCATAATTTACTGAATTTATCCTTTGCCGTGAGACGACTGAACATCCGTCCCACATTTAAAGGCAAAGATACGCGCTTATCCGCTAGCGTTGTAAAAATCACGATTCCTGAAGAATTTTCCAATATTTCTCATTTCAAAGTAATCTTACAAAATAACGCGTTTTTGTTAATACTCACATGAAATATTATTCATGAGTTTTATATCTTGCATATTGCGATGATCACTCAAATTCTCAGAAGGATAGAAACATATTTCAGGGGTTTCGAACTTTTGAGGCTTAATCTTAGTGAACAGAGTTTCAAACTTGGGGCTCTAATTGTGCTGCAACTATAAAGTACCCAGGGGTGTGAGTAATATTAGGCGAAATCTAAATTTACACGCAGTTTGATTGAAGAAGATGGTGTATTAAGATGTATTCGTGGTAGAATATTGGCGCATAGTGTTTGTTTATATAATGTTTCTTGACAGGGAGGAAATCTACAAAATTATTCTGCTCTTAGTTCTATACTACCGTAATGAAAGAGTGTCAAGATGTAAATACTGAAAAAATATACTTTAAAAAATATTAGGAACGTTCAGGAAGCAATGAGTCTGTTATTACAACACAATAGAGTAAATTGTAAGCATGTACTCGTACTTGTATAAGATTATATTTTTACTTCCTGACCATAAGCTAAAGAAGTGTTATTTATAATGGAGTCCATTGGATCTGTCCCATGTGGTTTATGAAACGGTGTTCAATTTTTATCTTAGGGATCCAGATTTTTGGGAAAAGAAATTAAAATTGTTTAAAAACATTTTGTACCTTAACTTTGAAACTGCAAAACCAAATGCTCTGAAATCTTGTAAACTTTTTAAGATTATAGAAATCATGCTAAATCGTTAGTCGAAATTTATCTCCTTCCAAAAAAATATAACTTTATAATTGTGGTTTATCAATGCACTCATAGATTTTAGAAATACTTACATCGGATGACTCAAAAAAATTAATACATGAGACAATTTATTATAATGATTAAAACTCAAAACGACTCAATCCACTTTTCTGTAAATTTGGGAATATAGTACTGTTATTATGAGTATTATACTGCATCTATCCAAATTGTATACGTGTACCTGCATGTTGATGATGTCATCACAAAATTTTGTAACGGAAAAACTCACTTGAAACAAATGCATAGCATGCTTCTTTACATTTGCGTTAATATTATATTAAATCTCTATTTTAACTTATAATATTATACCTATTTTTTATCATAAAAAAATTAAATTTCAAAAATATATTTTTTCGTTTTTTCATTTTTTATTTATTCAATTTATCCATTTTTCCATGTTTCGGTTTTATAAATTTCGTTTTTCCAACTCTGATTTTTTCAATTTTTCAATTTTCGACATCCAAATATTTCTATTTTTCGATTTGCAATTTTTCAGTTTTGCAATTTTTCGATATTGCAATTTTTATTTTTCGATTGTTAAGTTTCCCAATTTTTAATTTTTCAATTTCTCAATTTTTCGTTTCCTCAGTTTTTCAGTTTCTAGATTTTTATTTTTTAATTTCCCGATTTTTCAATTTTCAGTTTCTCGATTTTATAACACAATTTTTCGTTTTTTATTCGTTGGTTTTTCAATATTTCTTTCGTTTTTACAACTCTTCGTTTATACAACTTTTTAAATTTTCAATCTTTTATTTTTCAATTCCTCGACTTGCTAATTTTTTAATTTTGTAATTTTTGGATTTCTCAGTTGTTGTATTTTCCGATTTTTTTAATTTTCAATATTTCGATTTTATAATATTTTATTTTGTCGGTTCTGAACTTTTTACATTTTGAAGTTTCTTAATTTTTAATATTTCGAATTTTCAGTTTTTCGTTTCTTCATTTCTGCGATTTGCAATTTTTCGGTTTTCTACTTTTTCGATTTTGGACTTCCTCGTTTTTTCAGTTTTCCAATTTTTCAACTTTTGGAATTAGTAAAATGGAAAAATTGCAAAATTGTAAAATTGACAAATCAAAAATGAAATTACGAAAAAGTATAAAATGAAAACTTTGAAAAATCTAAAAATTGGAAATCAAGAACTTGGAAAAATTGGAGAAACGAGAAACTGAAAAATCGAAATATTAAAAAAACGAGAAATACAAAAATTGCAAAATTAAAAAACTAAAAACTGGAAAATCGAGAAACTGAAAAATCATAGATCGAAAATTTTAAAAACTGAATAAACGAAAAATTATAAAATCCAAAGAAACATTGAAAAATAAGAGACTTGAAAAAACGTAAAATTGTGATATAAAATCGAGAAAATGAAAATGAAATAATCTGCAAAATGAAAAATTAAGGAAACGAATTATAAGTTAAAATTTCTCATCACGCGGTATTTACTTATGTAAAGTTTTTTGAGGTGACGTTGTCCTATTGTTGGTAAGGATGTTTATGCAAATTTTAGCGTTTTATCAACTATACGATTTTCTTAATGCACATAAAAATTTGACAACAATCGGTCCATTAGTTTCGGAGATCTGTTTAATAAAAATTCGGACATACGGCGGGCAGACAGACAGACAGATAGACAAGCAGGTTACGCTCAGGAAGTAAAAATATAATTTTATAACGTTTTGGAATTTCAAAAGTATTATAAACTTGAAATACCAAATGTGAAAAAAAAAGGATGTTAATATTACGGTTATTGTTTTGAGATTAGATTTTTGAAAGTTTTCGTTTCATATTTTTCCATAATTTCATTTTTGATTTTTCAATTTTAAATTCTTGCAATTTTGCAATTTTTCATTTTTTTTATTGAAAAAGTTAAAAAATTGAAAAATTAAAAATCAAAGAAACAAAGGAACTGAAAATGGAAATATTAAGTTAATAGCGAAAAAATTAATAAATCAAAAAATTGGAAAACCCAAAAATTGTAAAATCGAAGAATTATAGAATCCTCAAAATTGTAAAGTCGAAAAACTGTAACATTGAAAGATCGAAAAATTGAAAAATTGAATATCGTGAAACTGAAAAATTAAAAATTAAAAATTGAAAAATCGAGTAAATGGAAAGTTTTAAAATCTAATAATTGAAAAATGGAAAAATTCTAAATTCGTAAATTTGAAAACGTGAATATTTAAAATGAAAACTAGGAAAACTGTAAATCAAAAATTTAAGAAACGAAAAATTGAAAAATCAAGAAACTGAAAAATCTAAAATTGAAAAACGGAAAAATTGAAAAATGGGAAAATTGAAAACTCGTGAAATTGCAAATACAAAAGTTGCAAAATCCAAAAGTTGGAAAATCGCAAAACTGAAAAATTTAATGATGAATACTCAGAGTTACACATCGTAAAATTAAGGAAACAAAAAAAAATGAAAAATTGAAAAATTACATATTGAAAAATTGCAAAAACGAAAAATTGAAAAACAAAAAATTATGAAATTGGAACATTGCAAAATCAAATAATTGATAAAAATAAAAAAAAAATAAAAAACCGAAAGGAAAAATTGCAAAATCTAAAAACTGTAAAACTCAAAGTTGGAAAATTGAAAACTGAAAAATTTGAACTTGAAAACTCGAAAGATTGCAAATCGAAGAACTGAAGAAACAAAAAAATGAAGAATTGAAAAATACAAGTCAAAAAAGCTGTGGGAATGTTCTTTACGCCACTGATAGTAACTTTATTGAAGTTACCTATTAGAAAACAAAAATCGCAAACAAATTTTGTAATAGGTATTTGAAAGTTATTGAATTCAGGGGCAAGGGAAGTTCGACCAATTTTTTTTAAGGGTAATTGTTTATTTCTGCTAGACAACCACATTAATTATTTCTTTTCCTTGCCTCAGATCCTTTTTTGAGTAGAAACTGTATATAATGTCACATATTTATTTAGGTATCTAAACTATTAGACAGTGATGGGTAGTCACGTTCGTTGCATATTGCGGAAATAAATAAAAAAAATATAGTACAAAAGTAAATTCTCCTTCTTTATGTTGTGTTAATGACTCCACGTTCAGTAAATACTACTTATTGGAATTTTAAATATTTGTAGTGTAAAGATCTGGAACAGATAGTGTACCTATTCTCTTTTGTATTGGCTGCTAAATTTAAATTTGAGTAGTTAGAAATTTGTTTTTGTAAAACTAAGTAAAACGGAAATCATACTTTTGCATTGTAATGAAAAGGCCTAAAAAAATGTTTTCAGGGCGTACTCGGCATTTTTGTGTTCTTCTAATTATTATTATTACATTTCTAAGAAATAACTAAGTCAACTGTGGCATTATGTCATTGCCCACAAGTACATACCTAAATTCGGACAGTTGTCAGGTCCAGCACAGTACGTGGTTACTTTTACTTTTTTGAAAAATTGGTCTAAAGAGTTTAGACAGTACTTCCCTCGCTGTCGGAAACTTGACGACTGCATGCCTATTGTGTTTTTTTTCTCATTACATTTTTGTAGTGGGAATTTAAAAAAAAATTGCGATGACGTCATCAACATTTTTGCAAGGACACGTATATCAGTTGGGATAGATGTAGTGTAATACTAAGAATAAAATTATTATATTCTCAAATTTTCGGGATAATGAATTGGGTCGTTTGAATATTGATTTGTAATAATCAATAAAATAACGAAACAATTTACTCACGTATACCTACGTATCAGAGGCAACTGAAAATCGTGTATGTATAAACATTCTTAATTTAAGATGACAGGCGTAACAGCATACGTGAGAGCCAAACACAGAAACTGTAAACAAAACGACCGTCGGTTTTATTGCTTCGACTTCCGCTTATTATATAAAACATTGGGTTTTATTTTAATTCTTGACGGTGAAATTCACAATTGGTTGATTATAAACATGTCTATTTCACATTCGCGGAATCAAGTGAACGCATAAAACAAATGCAGGTCTGTAATGTTAAAGTCGATGTAAATAAGCGTGCTACCCTTATGTTTCAACCGAGTTTTTCCTTTAACAAATTTTGTGTCTACCAAATTGGGTTGGTTGGGGTGTAATACTAATAATAAGTGTTGCCTTTAATTTAATCAATAAAATAAATTGACTTCATTAATTTTTTTGAACCACCTCTTAAGAAAATCTAAAAAATATGAATGGAATGATAAATCACAAGTACAAACTCATCATATTTTTTGCATTTTAGATAGGATTTATTCAGCAAAATTTAAGAGTGACGTCATCAATTTTTTTAGGAGGGATGAACAAATACATTTTGAACAAAAGTTTACCATGCTTATAATAACTTTAAAATATTCCCAAGATTTCAAAGCATTCGGTTTTGTAATTCCTGATTAAGTCGATAAAATAAATTCACGCCTTCATTAATTTTTTTGAGTCACCCTGCATATGCAAATCCAAAAATATGAATGGAATGATAAATCACAAGTACAGACTCATCATATTTTGTACATTTTAGATACGATTTATTCGGAAAACTTTTGAGCTGACGTCATCAGTTTTTTGTAGAAGATAACCAAATATATTTTGACTAAAAAATATTATGCTCTTTATAACCTTAAAACATCTGCAAGATTTCAAAGCATTCGGTTTTGTAGTTCCTGATTAAATCAATAAAATAAATTTACGCATTCATTAATTTTTTTGAGTCACTCTGTATATGCAAATCCAAAAAATATGAATGGAGTGATAAATGACAAGTACAGGCTCATCATATTTTGTACATTTTAGATATGATTTATTCGGCAAACTTTCGAGCTGACGTCATCAAGTTTTTGGAGGGGATAAGCAAATATATTTTGACTAAACATTTATTATGCTCTTTATGACCTTAAAACATCTGCAAGATTTCAGAGCATTCGGTTTTGTAGTTCCTGATTAAATCAATAAAATATATTTACGCATTCATTAATTTTTTTGAGTCACCCTGTATATGCAAATCCAAAAAATATTAATGGAGTGATAGTTCACAAGTACAGACTCATCATATTTTGTACATTTTAGATATGATTTATTCCACAAACTTTTGAGCTGACGTCATCAAGTTTTTGGAGGGGATAAGCAAATATTTTTTGACTAAAGGTTGATGATGCTCTTTATAGCCTTAAAACATCTGCAACATTTCAAAGCATTCTGGTTAGCAGATTAAAAATTAAATTTCAAAATGTTGTTTTATAATTTTGATTTTTTTTCCAAAAATCTGGACGTTTCGGGTGAAAAGTCGATTCAGAGTTGTAAACTACATGTGTAGGACTATGTTATTTTATACAATTGAAAACCCATTTACTATGTACAATTTTGAAGTGACGTCATCGCTTTAGTGGTGGGGATGATTCGACAAATTTTGGTTAGCGTTTTACCATCTACATGATATTCTTAACATAAGTACAAAATTTCACAACAATCGGTCGAGTACTTTCGGAGATTATCTGTCTAATAAAAATTCGTGACAACAGACGGACAGACGGACAGACGGACGGACAGACGGACAGACGGACAGACGGACAGACAGACGGAAATGGGAGAACTATTTCTTCGTCTTCTAGGGGTCATGAAAGATCGAGAAAACGTAACAGTAGAGAGTCAGCCGACGGACTCGATTACAATACTTCCTTTGCTTACGCTCGGGAAGTAAAAATTAAATTTAACTGAACTGGTAAAAACCCAGAGACTTACTACAAAAACTAGTATGCTCCCGAACTTGCAAAATTTAAATTAAAAAAAAATAGATGTTTATTAAACTTCTTCGAGGGCCATAATTCATGTTAATATTGATTTTTACAAGCTTATTTAACTTTATGTCTCACATAACTTTAACGAGCAATTCCCGCAGTAATTCCCTTATCGGAGTGTGCTCATATTGTCTAATGATGCTGATTTCGTTATAGATCCTCGATTCAAAATCAACCCGTCCGTTGCAGGATTTCTCCCTCATTATTTTGATTAATGAAATGACATAATGGCGCCCGATTTCTTCGGACATCTGAGACCACATGTCGTCTGCAGTGGATCGACGACAGCAGACAATTAATTCTCCATGATGTTTGAAATCTGTGTTAAAGGAGCGATTTTAAAAATATCCACTTACTTTTTTATTCTATTTTCATTGTAAACGCAGCAATATGAAAAACGTCGATTTTATTTGATCCGGATACATCTCCACTTGAATTTGATTTGATATCCTCATTTCGATGTTTGTTGAAATTTAGAAATTTATTTGCACTAATTTATACGAGGAGCAATGTACCGAATGGTCACCACGCAATTCGCTGTAGTCGGTACTTAATGGAGTGGAAATACCGATAAACATTTTTAGTGCACACTAATAAACAGTGCTTTTTTAATGACAGAATAAAGTAAAATTTTCTGGTGAATAAAATTGCCTTCGTTTATTACACAAGGAATTTTCATTGGTAAATTCACCTTTGGAATCATTTACTTTGGAGGATTCCCTGTTGATCTGTTTTAAGTTAGGGTGAGAATAATGGAAACGTGTTTAATGAAACTGTCGCTCCTCTGCCTTCCTCTTGTAAATATTTAGTAAGTGATTTTAATAATATTAATTGATGTTTACGTTTCGGTAACGTTCTTGGGAAATATTTGCGCAAGGTTTTGCAACTAGGCAAAATGGGTCAGTTAGCAGGGGCGGACTTTAAAGGGGGCTAACGGTGTGAGAACGTCACGGTAAATATACTGAAAGTTAAATAATCTTTAATAAGAAATTTCTTTTGATAAATTTGAAAATCTGGCAATTTTCTGGTTAAATATTATTGTTTGAAACATTAATTTCAACATTTTGAAATGTTTATTTTATCAAAAGTCACTCATTTGCCTGTTGGTCGCAAAGAGTAGAACATTCTTCGTTTAATCTTGAATAACTTTACTAAATAGTATTAATTAAATGACACAATAACGAATGAGGTAGAAGTTGTAACTAGACGATTGACTTTCAAGGTTTTAATTTATTACGTGAGAGAAAAGCGCCTTTGTGTACAAATTTTCGGTATTTGCGGAATATAAAACTGGTTGGTAGGAAATCATCCCTTTTAAAACCGAAGCAATTTGGTGGCAATTTCCAGCATTGATAAATTATCCTTACCGCTGTCGTATAATTCGCACTCCGACATCTCTGCCATTTTCGTATTTGTGATGTCCTTATGGGATGCCAGGAACAGAACAACTTCCCTTTTTTCATTTTTTATGGGAACGATATCCAATAAGCACCAGAACGGGGTCCCTACGCAAGCATAAATCATACTTAGAACCCGTTTTTAACCGAAAGTACAAGTTTCGAATTACTTACCGTTTTTTTTATAAAATATGACTTCTAATTTGAGCTCGTTTTTTGATTCGAGGGCCTTGTCTATTTGGGTCTTGTGTTCATCTTTCGTTTCCGGTCCGTAGAGGAACTTGCAGGCGCACCCTTTTTGCATAATTTGAGCTCGGGTGAAACCCGTAAGCTCGCAGAAGCCATCGGAACAGTACACAATGGGGTAGAGAGTCGGAACTTGTGCATTTCCCAATACGAAGTTGCTATCTGTGGAACGGAAAAGAGATGATTAAATTACTTAAGCCGACTGTGGGGTTATTAACAGTGGAGTGGAAGTATGTGATGAGCTTTCTGTGTTGAGGATCTTAAGGTAAAGAAGAAGGGGGAGGATTTATACGGGCGAATTTTTTATTAGGAGTATACTTAAAGATATACTAATCGGGAATTTTGAGAGGAATTTTTTGAGATGCAAATTTACAGAAAATTGTATCATCGTTTGTTTTATAATTAACAAAAATATGGGGAGTTACTAAAAATCTCAGCTCCCATAATATGATAATCAGGATAACAATCTCCAAATGATCTAAGTAGCTGCTAATTGTCTTAATAAACTGAGTTTTGTCCAAGATGGTTTCAGAAATACATTATTTTCCTCAAACCTTGCATTAACAAAGACGACATACAAGTTTGAGTTAATTTTAATTAAAACTACTACACATGGGTTTGGTTTGACGTATTAATGATGAACTGCACTTTTATTTAGATCGTCGCTTTTTAAATACTTTTTTCTTTATATTTTAGACATTCAATTTAAAAGAAGAAAAAAATTAACGATAGAAAAGATGTGCCAGACTTGTGGTATTCTCAATACAAAGTTAATATCAGTTCCATATAAGGATGAATTAATTTTATAAACCAAAATATGACCGCTACTTTGGTTTAACGAATCAGTGAAATTTATAGATTCATCAGATTCCTATTACGTATTTGTTAATATAACGAATGAATGAATTTTCAATTTTTTAAATTATTGCTTATTATTATATGCGAGTTTCAGATCGAAAGGTACACGAAAGACATTTTAACCATTTATATATTTATTAGGTATTCATGATGTAAATAAAATTAATTTGGAACATTTTACTTTTTTTTTTCTTCCCTCTTCAAGAAACATCATTTTATTGCTCATTATACAGAATTAAAGATTTACATTCTTGCTGCCCGTCACCAAAGACATTAAAATTACTTTTATTGCCGGAGGCCACTTTTGCTGCCGACAGCTATACATTTAAAAGTGACACTTCTGCTCCGGCTAAAACAATATCATTTTATTTAATTTCATTCGTTTGCTTCGTAAGTTATAAAGCGTTGTTTCTCTTAACGTGAATCCGTGGAGGTTATTTCGACAGAACTTTCCTCGCCCTTGAAGTAGGTACAGCACAACAAATCCCGCTTCTTTGAAAAATTATAAAAATTGTTTGTTATTTTTGTTTTCTGATAACTTCTATAAAGTAAAAACCCGTCATAAAATAACTCCCATAGCTTTTTTTACTTGAATTTTTCATTTCTTCAGTTTTTATTTTATTGCTTCAGTTTTTCAAATTGCAATTTTTTCAATATTTCAAGTTTAAATTTTTTAGTTTTTCAATTTTCCAACTTGGAGTTTTTCAGTTTTTAGATTTTGAAATTTTCCTAATTGAGTTTCTCGAGTTTTCAATTTTTAACTTTTCGATTTTTCGATTCTTAAATTTTTCATTTCTTCAAATTTTCGATTTGCAATTTTTCTGAATGTTTTCAGTTTTTTAAATGTTAGGCAAAAAATGGAGATATTTGTAATATGAATTCTCTGTTCCAGAAATTTAGACAGATCTTGCTTATTATTATTCTACAATTTGTCCTAGAATTTCATATATTTTCATTAACAAAAGTTCGAAAATGTGGTCAAGGGTACTTCTCAAAATTAAAAATTGTTTGAACGTGACATGCTTATTTGACTCGGAACAGCAACATATTTTCAGACGAAGGTTACGCACTGACGACTTTTGTATAAGCAGAACAGTACATTTTCAAAACAACCTTGTCTTATTTAAGTTTATCAGTAAGATTGATTAGCAATTTGTTGGAATTATCTACGTTTTTCAGATTTAATAAGAATCACAAAGGAATTAAAACAATGAAAGTGTAGCTGGCACTCTAACTAAAATAGATTCATGTTTGCAAAATAATAAACATTTCTAAATATTCTAGCTAATTTCTACGAAATGTTCAATTTGTTGACATATACTTTAAAAGCGAGGAAATTGACCAACCAAGAGTTGCATAATTTGCCTAAAAATATCTACATTGTGACTTCATTCACATACGTATTGCAACAGTCTATGGTATTAACAGAAAACTTCCTCAAAAATAGTTTTTATTCATTGCGTATTGATAATAAAGCGTTTATATTTAAATGCCTGCAATCGCGGGAAATGCGGTCGAAAAATTTTCTCTCATTCTGTGCCAACATTTCGCCATAAATTCGTTTCTTAATCAAAACGAGTGCATTGTATTTGAATGCATTTCATGACAGAAATTTGATTTCTGTCACAGTAAAAATTGAAATAGTAAAAGACTACTCGACTATCCTCCGAACTAGTTTAAAATCCAATACGTCTAGCCGAGCAACTACAAAAATTGATTTCCTTCGAGTCAACTTTTAAAACATGTCATAAATAACATTTTAGTAGACGTTTATTATTCATCCCTTAGTTGCTCAACATTCCCGCGGTTTTGAAAAGTGTGCTTCATATTTTATACGATTTGAAAGAAAAAGTCTAACTCTGGGACAGCGCTGCGAAAGTTGCGATAACGTAACTAAATTTGGTATATATCAATGCCTCACAAAAAGCAACATTGATAAATTGATCATCGTTTTGAAGAGGTATTATATAGTCGCGATAAGGTACCGAAAAAAGAGCAAACAGATTATTTGAAGAGATAACAGTTTGAGGCGAAAACAAGCAGATAACGATTGAAATTCTCAAATAGTACAAACACATATTCGGAGAAGGAAAACAAAGAAAAGTTTCTTGGAATTAATGAGTTTCTGAGGGCTTCGCGCCATCTGTAGGTTTCCTTTTTCGTTCTTAATTAACATGGAAAACCCATTGTCACGATAAATTAAATTTCCTATGCATTTCCCATAGGTCGACGTCGCCTTTAAAAAATTAATTGTGACTTGTTTTCAGACAAGAGTTTGTTTTTCCTTTTCGAATCAACAAAGCTAACGGTCTTTAGTCGTTTTAAAAAAAGTTTTCTGAAAAGAGTAACTTTTAGATGTTTGATAAAGGAGTAACAAGTGTGTGGGCTGTGATTACTCTTTTTTCTTTGCGAGAATTAATTAAAAGAAGCATTGCAGCACAGTTATTCTGAGGAATGTACAGTTTCATGATTCTCTGGCCTTATATAGAATCTATTTGTGTAGAATTTAAAATTTAAGTGTGCTTTAAACTTGTTATGACGAGGGTAAAATACTAATAAGTAAATTTGCGTTTTCATTTCATTTACAAAATTGGTGACGTCATTTAAACTTCATTTTTAATGGTTTTCCTGTAAAAAAAATATTACACTTTGCTTTACTGATTATGCAAGATATTTCATCGATTTCTTAAAGAGGGTGAAAAACAGATTTGTGTTAACGTTCTGTAATCCTTGAATTAATCCTAAGGATTATCGAAACCCGATGATTTAAACTTAACATTTACATAAAGATTAAAATAAGAATGGATAATAATTAAACCTTTTAAAATTAACGTTTTCAGGGGGATCAACAGACAAACTTTTGTTAGTGCTTTATATAATCGCTAATAGAGGACAGACAGGAAACAGACATAACACGAAATTAGATATTCATCAACGTAACTAACCCTGTTACAACACTACCCTTAGTCATAGCTCAGGAAGTAAAATCATGGTGACATTCTATACATTTTCTTTTCCGTTGTTAATTAACACGGAAAATCCATTGCGACGGTAAATTAAATTTCCTATGCATTTCCCATAGGTCGACTTTCCCTTTAAAAAATTAATTGCGACTTGTTTTCAAACAAGTTTATTTTTGCTCTCCGAATCAACGAAATTAAGCAAAAGCACAGCAAAAAAGCACACCCTCCAGCAAGGTGTTGATGACGTTGCAAGGGTAGTTCTTCGAGTTAATCGCATTTACTCGGGTCGTTTAATACACCCCTAATCACCATCTGAGCCTAGAGTGAGGGGAGGTGGCGAAATTAATCTGTGACCGAGTTATTTTCCCACCTAATGAGTAATAACCGGAGAGTTTATACAATTTTCTTCTTGAAGTGTATCGCAGATTCAATCTGAGCGATTTTTTCATGTTTGATGTAGGAAACGATGAAAAATTCAAAAGTGTTGGATTTACGGTTCAATTTGTGGTCAGTTCAGAAGTAAGACAGAAAATCCGTTCGAGGATATGACGTTTAATCGATAGGTTAATTTAATCGTCGGGATGTGTTGTAATATGATAAAGGCAAGCTATGAATTATGTCGAGCATATTTCCATAATAAATCACTGGGGCAGGTTAAATAGACAAATTCGGGCTGCTAACGTATATCTACTATTAATAGGGTGTATCTTCATAAATTTCCCTTCGCAGAGATCAACATGGTCATATCTTATTAATTAATTTGACCACTGTGGGCGTAATAAGGGAAATGCCTAATTCTGGAATTCTAATTCTAAAGGCATTTTTTATTAAAGTCGTTCTCCCTTTTATAAGCCGATTTAGCTCATTTTGTTCTGGTTTGGAAAAAGTCGATTCAAGAGTAGGTAATCTATTATTATCAAACGCACATACCCATAAGATACATGGAAAATTAGAATGAAAAATATCTGAAAACGTATTGCATGCAATCTATTAAATTAATTAAGTTAATTTTGAATCCGATTTTCTTGTACAATTTTGATACAAGAATACACTTATTATTTAGTAAAAATTAAATAAGAGTTATCTAGCAAAATTTTGCGATGACGTCATCATGTGGTGGGGAAGAATAAGTAAATTTTGATTATGTAGTACTTGCCAACAGACGGGCATTCGGAAACAAGGACCTACTTTTTCATATTTAAGAACCATGAAACGTTAAGAAAACATGAACTTATCAATTCGTTAAATGGACCCCATTACAGTACTTCCATAGCTTGCTCTTAGATGAGTGAAATACAGCCCCTGTAAAACTGTTAGAATAGAAAACTCAATTGTAAAGAA